TGGCCCACGAAGCCTAAGATACACCCCTCGTCGAGAAGAGACCATCTCCTAACGGGCACTCCAGTTCTGTGGACCCGACAGAGCCACCAGGTGCCGGGGAAAGCGGCCCCTCCCCCACCCGTAGTAAGCCACCGGCCGAGCACCCCACCCACGGGAGCGAACTGAGCCGTGACGAGGCTGTGATTCCGCTGACGCTCACTTCCAAACACAGTGCGGGGGCGAAACGCTCTTCCGGGCGTGTAAAATTAAAGAGGGATCTTTAAGTCTTGAGTACAGCAGTGAGAAATTACTTAGGTTTGCCTTGATTCCTTCTCTTGAAAATCCTGGACTATTTTTTCTCTTTGTGGGGTTCTTCCAAAAGGTCCCTTCCTACGCCTCTGGCCACAGGCCAGCGCCGACAGTAGGGCAAAAGCGGGGCACTCGGGGAACCCGTGAACTCACCCCCAAAGAGAGCGCCAACACTCCACACTACAGCTGGCTAGCCGGACTGGAGCTTCCTTCTTTGGGAGCTTAAACCTCGAAGTCCTGAGTCCTCACCCACATAGTCCCTTTCAGAGCTTGGGCACCGGGGACCGCTTCTAAAACTGATGGAGGGCAGGTGACTCGCAAGAAGCAAGAACACATTCAAACCACACGCAGATGAGAAGCTGTCTTCATCCTCATGTTGAAAAGCTGCGATAGCCTCAGGTAAAATAATGTCGGAGTGAGTAAATCACAAGGACGACTACAGACTTTGTAGAGTGTAACCTTATTAACAGAGAGAGTATCATTCTCAGTAAGAATTTAGAAATAGGGAATACAAACGTTTGCTTCCTTTTGCAAAATTATACAATTTCTTAGTGACAAAGTTGAGACTGTAAACCTCATCTAAACTCCATATTAGCCCCTTTAAATTTTTTTTATTTGAGAGCAAGAGAGCCATAGAGAAACAGTGCTTGTTGTTCCACTTACTTATGCACTCATTGGTTGATTCTTGTATGTGCCCTGACTGGGGATCGAACCTGCAATGTTGACACATTGGGACGATGCTCTCTGACCAGTCAGGCTACCAGGCCAGGGCCACCTCTTTTCTTTTCAAGTGACAGCTGAACAGATCGTTGTGATTTCTTCTGTGTGCTTCCCCAACTTCAACTCGCACCAGTGGCTTGCATTTTGTTTCCTGTATGCTGAAGCTACCCCTTGTACCTTGTGTCAATTTTTGACATTTTTTTAGATTTATAGAAAGACTGCAAAGAACTGAAGAATTCCCATACATCCCACACCCAATATCCTCTATTATTAACATCTTCCATTAGTATGGTGCATTTGTTACAATTATTGAATTAACACTAATACGTTAGTATCAACTGAAGTCCATCCTCGATTCCAGTTTGCTTAGCTTTTCCGTAACGTCCTTTTCTGGTTCAGGGTCCCCTCCAGGGTATCACATTCAGTCCTGGTGCTCCGGGACCCTCCTGGCTCTGGGAGTTTCTCACGGTCCTTGTTCTGGTGACCTTGACAGAGTTGAGGACTGGTCAGCTCGTGAGTGGGATGCCCCTCAGTAGGGATCAGACTGGGGTTATGAATTTTGGGGAGGAAGATCCCAGAGCTAAAGTGCCCTTTTCATTACATCGTATCGAGAGCACATACTCATGATACACGACCAAGAACCTTCCTTGCTGACCAGGCTACGGCAGTGTGTCGTTTCTCTTTTCCTTCTTCCACTCTGTGCTCTTTGGAAGGAGGTCAGCGCGCACAGCCCATACTTAGAGGTGGGGAATTATGTCCCATGCAATATTTCCCTCTCCTTTCCATTCATTCATTTGACCATGCGTTTATACATTGTATTCTGTTGCTGCAATTGCTCCGGCGTGGGTAGGCAGGAGCTGCTCACGTCTTGCTTCTTCTTTGCTTCCCTTGGTCTTGGACGTCCCCTTGCTTCTCAGGACTTAGCTGAGAAGTTACCTCCTCAAAAAATCCCCAAAAACAAAAACAAAAAACAAATCTCGAAAACCACCCTATTCCCAGACCTTTCTCCCCTACCACTCTAGGTTATATGTTCTTCCCTGTATGTTATGGAATTTGCACACTGTATAGTTACCCAACTTTCCCCCTGGACAATAGCTTCCCGAGGACAGGGGCGCCTTATTTATTTCATAAGCCTAGTGTGTATGTAGCACGTGGGGTCTTGTCAGAACAAAGCAGCAGCTCGACAAACATTTCTACGGCGATCATTACGGTTTCCTCGTTAGCCCCAAACCCAGGAGTGCCCACACGTCCCCCAGCAGCAGCACCGCAGCTGGTGACGAACCGCTCCGGGGGGACCTGTGAGGTGCTGCTGTTGTTTATGGGTCACGTAACAAACGTGCTCAGGATCCAGGTTAACATTTCTTCGTGTCTCTGCTGTGAGTAAGCCCATTTCCTGACTAGTCATCCCAGGCACCTTTGCCTAATTACACCAAGGGCGATGACAAATTACCTGTATGTCTAGAACCCCAGGCTGGGTCGCTTCTGACACCGCTTACCTTACAGAAGTGGCGTCCCCAAGAGAGCACACACGCATTTGGGGCATGGGGTTCCCACGTGACTTACTGCTGGTTGAGGATTTCACGACCATCGAAGAAATACATTTGCTGAATTGTATTCTTAGTTGTAACAACTTATGAGGAAATGACTTTAGGTTAATCCAGACTCTTTCCAGACACAGGAATTAATGTGGCAAACCATTAAGCCGGGACAGTTTTCAGGCTGGATTAAGGCACCATCTGAGCCCAACTCGCGGCTGACTCCTGACTGGTCGCCTCCCGGGCTGCACTCCTGCTCCCCCTCCCTGCCCACGACACGCGAGGCCGGGGTGTGCCGCTCAGCCCTCCCTTCGAACTGCTTTTGTGACGAGATTCAAATTCTCACCCACGCCCGGGAAGGCTCCACGCGTCCAGGGGGCTCCCCTGCCCCTTCAAACTCACCCCCTGCTGTGTCTTCCTTGTCCTTAACGCCAACCATGCTCACCTTTCTGAAGCTCTGCCTCAGTCCGTAACTTTCCTGATGTCTAGTAACTCCACCTTCTTGCAAGAACTTCACAAAGTTCTTCAGTCTCTAACATTTCTTAGGCACACAGCGTGCACCTAAGGACAAGGGCAGCTTTGTCCGGGAAACGCAGGCAAATCCACTGAACACAGAGTAGGCTGAAACCCGGAGACTCAAATGCTTTTTGAGGTAAAGGGATTTTTTGGTGTTAAAATGTACATTATCTTTAAGATTTATTATGTTATTTTTCTAAGAAATAGTAATATTAATTTGATGCTGACACGCTACAAAGGCTACCACAAACTTAAAAATCATTTCTCACTATTTACTAGTTAAAACAAAAATTTAAATAAAGCACTGCCTTCTTAAAATAATAATTCATTAAAAAATTGAGTCCTTTTGATAACTAGATACCTTATTGAATCCTTCCAAATGCATTAAAAAATTGAGTCCTTTTGATAACTAGATACCTTATTGAATCCTTCCAAATGCATGGAAATTAACATGACCCCACAATTTTTAAAAATATTTTTAGGAAATTACACCAAATAAAATACCGTAACAATCTGCCTCTATTTAAACACATTCAAAGAGGCATCAACTCTCTGCTCCCTATTTGGTGATTCCCTGGACACACCTGCCCAAGAGAAGTTCTTCCAGCGGAGACCCTACACTGCAATGTTCTTCTGCACCTCTGCAAAAGGTCCTTCACTAATCTGGGAAACAGGTCAGCTAACACTGTTCTGGCGAATGACAGGAATAACTTTTGAATGAGTGATCTTTCCTCTCAGAATGGAGTCCAAAAGTTTATTAGGTTCTTAACTCCCAGAAGTAAGATAAAATTGTGAAGCTGAAAACCAAAACATTTCCCCTAAGTTTGAGGCAAACACAGCAGAAGGTTAAAGCCGACCTGAAGACATGGGACGGTTCCAGCCTTTACCAGCCCCGGGGGAGGGGAACGTTGGCTGCGGGACGCTGATGAGCCCGCGGGCGGGTGGGCGGGCGGCGTGCTGTCGCCCCCGAGTCCGCTGGGGGTGCTGGAGGACGCAGGCCACTCACACGGCTGTGCACCCCAGGCTTCCCCCAGTGCCTGTCTCCATGAAGCGTGTGGCGTTAATTCTGTTCTGATCTTTTTCTAAAAAGCGTTCAGACTTTTAAAGCAGCTCAAGCAGAATGCTTCCTCTTACGTTTGCTTGACCTGCTACTCTCCCAACTTCTACTGCTTACCAACGGGGAACTATTTAGAAAATAGGCTAGACAACCTAAGAGATTATATGGCTTAGAAATTTCTTTTCCTCTCTGTCAGGCACTGGCAAACTAGGTCTGCGGGCCAAACCCTACACTCCAGCTGTTTCACAGCCATGCCCCCTTGCTTAGCTAGGTGCGTACTGTCTGCCGCCACCTCCCTGCTTCAAAGCCGAGTTGCGGAGTTGCGATACAGACCACGTGATCTGCAAAGCCTGGAATGTTTACCAGCTGGTCCTTCACAGAACCCGCCCTCAGCCCACGCTCAGCCCACGCTCGGGATGGCACCAATGGCCATGACCGTGTGACAGCTATGCCGCTACGAATCGGGCTGGCTGGCCTGCATGTAGGGCTTCTGGTGCGCATGTGTGACACTTCAAAGGCACAGACAGACACGTCTGTCACAGACTGACATTCTCTTTCTCTTGGAATGAGGTTTCAATGAGTCAAATTTTAGATCCTGGTCAGATTCAGAGGGACTGAGGGGTATAGTGCTTGCTGATGATATGAATCTGGGTAGAGAATAAAGGAAGAAATTCACAGGGTAAAGTTATAAACCTTCTCACTTACTGTAAACATTAAATTTCACTGAAAGGAATCCATCTACTTTTATATTGACATTGACATGCATGATTCCAAAGAGGTCGGGAAACATGGACCTTAAAAATGAATTCACTGGTACATTATTCTGCAGGCCGTGTGAGCTGCCCCCTCTTGCCACAATTGACAAAAAACTTTCTCAGTTCAACTGTGGCTCAATAAACTTTTATTATTTTTTGTTATTTATTTTTATTCAAAAGAATTTGTTTCCCTATCACAAAAATTATATAACCACACCACCAGCAGCAGCCAAGTCCATAGAGTTATACTGATGGTGGAGAGGTCACTGGGTGACCCGATGTCCCAAAGGTCATACAGGAGGAGGAGGAGGAAAGGAAAAAATGCTCAAAACAAATCCAAAACCCATGATGACGCTGGGGAGAGACGTGACGTGACGTGACGTGACGGTCCGTCTTCTCTCGCTGTCAGCCGCAGCTGTGTTCTAGCAGGACCACGCGCAGCTGAACTTGAGTAAACTCTTCATACCAACTCCAGCACCTAATGGGGGGAGGGAAGGCGGGGAGGATCAGTTTAGTAAAACGTTTTAAAGTATAGAATGAGTTTTTATAAATCTTTACTATATTGTAAATGGAGAACTAAATCAAGAAAACTTTTCCTAACTGCTAAAATGCCAAAGAACTTGAAGGAATTAGACATTTATCCTTTCTTACTTTTAAGACTAATCTGTTCCTATTTCAGTTCAACAGCAGGACAAATGCTTCAGGCTGGTTATCTCCACAGTTAGCTAGAAAGCCTTCAGGATAAGCCACATTAAAATACGTGAATGGATACAGTGCCCGATTCACAGCATAAATATAACACTTTTGGAAAAGATCCAGGGCGGGGAACAGTAGGTGTATAGTTATATCCACTTTTGAATAAAATTCTTAATAAATAATAATACAAGAATAGACTTTCATGTACTCTTATATTTTTATTAATTATTATTGCATTCAAAAGCGGGTATAACTGTAAACCTACTTCCCCCCACCCTGTATATGCTGGCACCTCCCACATGCTGATGAGAATTTTAAGCGCTGCTGTTTAAGACTCTAGTCTATTTACTCCCCCACTGATGAACAGTTTAGAGAGATCGAGGTACCCAGGACCTAAAATCTTGCCTTTGTCTAGTGCTTCCCAATTTTCTAGTTAATCATCTGGTGTCAAGATAATCTGTTAGTTATTAAAGCAGTGCTTTGTCATGCAAGAAAGGTGCGATGCTGCTAAAATGAAAACCGAGAAGCAGCAGCAGCGTTCGGCTGTGCAAGGGGAACGGCTGAGAAGGGACACGGGACCTGCGGGACATCGCCGGCCCGCGGGACAGAACAGCGTGAGACGGCCGCGGTCCCAGCAGCACAGCAGGGAAGCAGCCGGCTCGACCCACACCTGCGCCCCACGGCGGTTTTTGTCTTTACTGTTAGCAAGCGGGCGTAAGGGGTCAATGCTGTTGAACGACATCTTAGATTTGCCACTAAGATTCTCCAAGTATGTGCTTTGAGTTTCTGCAGATACTTTAGCAATCCCAATTGCCTCAGAGGCCAAACTTACAGAGTAATGAGGTGCAGCTTTTTCACTGAAGGGCTTGCGTGAACGTAAGATGAAGGGAGATGGGAAACTGCAGAGAGCCACTTAAAGCTGAGACCCAGGGCCTTCTACCATCCTGCTTGAGGCTTCCAGAATGCAACACTGACCAGTTCGAAGCCTGCTTTCCATTTAAGCTGCTCGTGGCTCCCTAACGAGGCTCTGCAGACAGAGGAGCCGGCTGCACAGGGAGGGGCGTGCACACCAGTCTGGCCAGCTGGCGCTGCAGTGCAGGCCTGCTTCGAGTCTGCTCCAGCCGTCTGCAGGGCAGGGCGTTAGGCGCGGACTTGCTCCCTTGCTTGCTAGGTCATTCCCCACTCAGGATGAGTGGGGAAGCCACAGCAAAACTAATACAAATGCTAAGTGGCAGGAGAAATAGATACATGTTTTTAAAAACTAAGCAACATCCTGTTATCTCTGTACTAGCAGTGAATACGCAGAAAGACCTGGTGTCCAGGGTATGTGCTGATCAAACCCCTGTACTAAAAACCTCCAAATCGTGGTTGGTTTGAAAAGACACACTGCTTAGCTTTAGCTCAGGACTTGTGTGTCCAGTGTGTGGTGCCCAGTACTAAATACGCACTGGTATAATTAGATACAATTTATACTTCCGTGTCCTAGCTACAAAGACGAGGAGGTGGGAAACTACGTCTGAATTTGACACTGCCACTGTGTGCCCAAAGACCTTTAAATCTCACTCTACACTAATGGCAAGATCATACAATGAAACAATTTTCAACTCAATACTAGAACACCTTTTCTTCCCTTGGCAACTAATGAATAAATAACCTACTTGCCAGAGAAAGAAAGAGTAAGAGTAGGATATCTTTAAATCTGGTGAGCGTCCAAGCATCTCTAGCTGCATCCTGGACCCTGTCCACTGAATGCCCTGAGGGTGGTCATCCTGGCGTGAAAGAGGCTGAACCGTGCTGGGCCCACAGCGAATGCTGAACAGCCTTCACCTGTCTGTCCCCTACGAACACATTCAGCATTCGCACAACCTCCAGCAAGCACCATCGTCTGCCCCACAGCCGCAGGCTACTGATTCTTTCCCCTTCAATCAAACCACTTCCCAACACTCACAGAGCCAGGACCGGGAACACCTCCAAGGCGCAGGACCGCCCCGTAGTCCGTGTTACAGCTGCAGTCCCTCACACGCTCAAGACAGAACTGACCTTAACGTGGAGGGGAGCGGGACGAACAGCTTACCTTAATTGTACCCTGACTGTTAGCAGCAATCAGCACATTGGACTCCTGGAAGAGAACGAGAACTTTTAAAGAACAGGGAAGGGTCTTCCGGAGGGCAGTCCCAGAGCGGAACTTCCTGTCTTTCTTCCCTTCGCCCTAAGAACCAACAGAACCTAAAGTAGAGAACCAACTTGAACATATTTTTATCCACAAACTTTAAACACAAAATCCCTTATTGTGAGGATTAAGTTTTAATAAAAACAATAAAGTTGGAGGTAGAATAGGAAGTTTTCCAATGTAAACAAAAATAAAAGAAATGGATTACTACTGGAAGGAAAGCCAAGAGAAACAAAGTGAAATGAAACGCCAGTAACAAGAACTTGAGAGAAAAGTGCACCATCCTTCCCACAGAAGACTCCCCCGATCCGTTTTCTCCCGTGACACACTGGTAACTGGTGTTGAGTGCTGCGCGTCTCTGACAGCCGTCCCTGGTGTGGGCGGCATCCACCAGCTAACCTGGTGTGGGCGGCATCCACCAGCTAACCTGGTGTGGCCGGCATCTGGCACTGGGAAACACACGGACGTGAACACTCAAGTGGGGAGGCTTGGGAAGGCTCTCTTTCTTTTGAACGACTCTGTCACCGAGCGTGTGCATTTTAATCATTGTGATGACTTGAAACAGAATGCATGCAGTGGCATGTTTTTATATTCCAACCTTTAGGGAAAAAACCATTTCTCTGGCAAGAAGGAAGAGAGGGAAACGGCGGACAAGTCTGGGTTTACCAGAGGGGATCGCATTAAGCAGGAGGAGCTGGGACCGGTCTTCTGTTGGAAACTAAGTCTAGTCCGTCGGCTCTGGAGCCTGGAGGTGCGCACAAGCCTCCCTGCCTTTCGGGGCAGGCGGCCAGAAGCAGGCAGACAGCTGCAAACCTGCCAGAGGCCACACGGCTGACGGGAAGACCGAGTGCACACAACAGGCCCGAGAAACAGGTAGGGAGGTCAAGCCTCAGTGAAAGACAGGGTCCGCCTTCGCCGCATCCTGCCGGCGTCCTGACCAGGTGAGGAGGAGAAGAAAGACATTTCCCGGTCCGCACGCTGGCCAAGTCACTTCAGCCAACCTGAGTTAAACTTCCATTTCTCTGCTGAAAGGAAACCGTGCTCCATCAACTTAATACATTTCTGTTCTTTAACTTTCCTGTTGATTCCTGGTCAAGTTACTTTTGGAAAATGCTGTTTTTGCTACTGGTGTGAGAGGAAACAACTTTCTGCACTGTTGCTCAGATTTTTGGTATCCAACTGTTCCTTCGACGCAGTTGGCGGTGGAGACATCCACGGGTCTTCGTTGCTCTGAGAAGGGACAAAGCCACGTGTTTTCGGGGTGGGCGTGGGAACTGCTGGCGGTGGGGTCTGGGACACGCGACCTCGAACCAGGGCCCTGGCGCCCGCGGACCTTCAGCTGAAGTGGTCTGAGAAGACCATAGAGCAGGAAGGCTGCGCTGACCCCGCAGCCCCCAGACAGGTCCTGAGACCCGCAGGTGAGAGGCGTCCGCCCTATGTGCAGGGGAAAGGGACACCCTCACCTCCAAAGACAAAGGGATGCCGAGAAGATTCCAGACAGACAGGCTGCACCAGCGAACTCACGCCCCGTGCCCTAGCACGCTTCCGCACGGTGCCCGCTCCCGCCCACACCCGGCACCGGGCGCAGGCCTGTTTCTCCGGGCCTCACTCCCTTCTGCAGGCTCCCGCGTGCCAGAGAACTTAAGTAACTCTGAACGCTCTTCTCCTGTTCATGTGTCCAGGGACCCGAGAGGGCTAAGGAAAACCTTTTCCTCCTCTCCAGCGGTGTTTTCCTAGCTGAGGTTTTCCCTTAGATCAGCACACGTGTCCTTGAGAAGAGCAGCACGGGTAATGCAGAATTCACTTTAGAATTAGTGTCCACGTCCACTCAGGACCCAGACACGACTCTTCTGTCAACACCTTCCAGAAATGGAGCCACGAACAGCGCCGACCCATCCAGTTTCTGCTTGAGGAGACTCCAGCCTCCGAGACGCCACGGCCACCATCGCGCGACACGGCAGTCACCCCAGACTGCTCCCCCCGCTACGGGAACACACAGCGAGAGAACGGTGAAAACTGTACGGAAGGAGCCCACAGCTCTATCTCTTTCTGCCTTTTCACTCCAGTCACCTTTTAACACAGAGGGGGAAGGCAGCCACGCCTGGCGAGATGAGGTGCACCCTGTGGAAGGGAGAATGAGCCACTTCGGCCAGTCACCGAGATTATCACGTAACTCAAACTTCTAATTCTCGGTGGAAGGGAAGACCGGAAAAGTGTGGGGTGTTATCACACAGCATGAGATCGGGCTCACTGAAATAACAGTCACCACGTAAGAGGGGTGTGAAGCCGGTACAATCACTGCACTAAACCCCAGAAGACATCTGGTAACTGTCCGACAAGAAGAGAAAACATCTTTTGGTAAACTCAGGACTATCACACCATTAATAGGTGGCACCACCTCAGATGCAGCCAGAGGGTTAACACTGAACATCTTCTCCTACGGAGACAGATAACTGTCTCATGTACAAACAGGCCAACGCGGGAAGTGACTGCCCGGCTGGAATGGTCTTTTCGGACCGACATACAGGTGACAGAGTGTCCTAAGAATTCTTAGAAACACTCAAAATTTCATCAGCAAAATTTCACTAACAATCAATGAAAGAAAAGAGTCTCACATCTCAGTATGCCCACTCCCTGCCAAGACCATGAACTTATAAAAAATGAAAGGATTTAGGATTAAACTGTCTTTCAGATAGCCAGGTACTGACTTAAGATAAACTCATTTTTGCAACAGAGAAATAAAGCCAAGTATTATAAATGGTGACAGAAGGAGACTTGCCTTGGGTGGTGAACTCACAATACAGTGTACAGAAGATGTGTTGTAGAATGGTACACCTGAAATCTATCTAATTTTATTAACCAATGTCAACCCAGATAAATTCAATTAAAAAAAAAAGGTTGCTTAGAAGCTGCCCATAAAGACAAAAAAAAAAATCCCAAAATATTTTATGCGTCAGCGTAGAGGTATAAAAGTGGCAAGTACAAGAAGTACACGGTTATTCCTGCAGGTTTTGAGTGATTCTGCTTGCATTTTGAATGGCTAGTAATTTAGCCTCAGCTGTAATCTGCCAGAGCCCGAATGTCAATAAGTTCTGGCTCAATGGGTTGTTTTTACTTGCTAGGTGAAATAAAAATGCTAGCCAGTAATGCTCATTTTGTCCCTCTTTCTTGGAAACTGACAGCTTAACCTAAAGGTTAAGCTAACACTACACCTAATATCTTCTTCTCCATATAAAGATACTAAGAAAAGATAATGGTAGAAATTAGATGGAAGTCTTAAAAAAACAGAAGAGTTGTACACAGAGACCAACCAGCATCCGCTTAAGTCTCCTCTTTGCTGGCTTGCCCAGAAAAGTGCCATCGCAGCTAATACACGAAAATCCTAAGCAAGCTGAGAAATGACAATTATTCACCTAGTTTGCAATTACAGGATTTGTTCCTAGAGATAGACATAATCGGTTTTAAAATGTGGATGAATTTTACTATAGATTTAAGCATGTAAAAAACCCCGAACAACTTCCATTTCTGGCCATGGGCAGAGTAGGTGGCAGAGATCCGCCCCCTCGCCGACTAGAAAAGTGAGGAAACTGTGCGAGAACCCGGGACAAGCAGGACGTAATTCCCATGAGAAGGGAAACAAATGAGCCGAGTCCTGTAGCTGCCCAGGCGCTCCACCTGGGGCCACTTTCTGGGCCATGCAGCGGAGAAGGGGAACCCCGCTGAGCACAGGGGCGTCCAGGGCGGCTGGGTGTTGTCTGGCAGAGCACCACAGATGGTCCCACTTCCTCCCTGCATCCAACTTACATTTTCTCCTGTTACGTCCTGATCTTTTTATTAGGCACCCAAAGGAACTTGTGTTCACAATCAGGGAATACATACTGTGAACTGCACTGAGGGGTGAACATTAAAAATACTTAAGCACACAGGCAGCAGTCATTAAAAAACTAGTACAGCTATACCTCTATATATCCGACTGCCCCCGATTTTAGCATATCCTTTGCCATAAAAGCAGCTCCAGGTCTATCCGGTGTTTAACAGTAAAGACACAGTAAATACCCATCTTAACGGTATTTAAAGTGTATATAATGAGGATCAGAGTCTGAGCTCTCATAAAACCCCGAAGAGCAGAGACAGACGTGCAGCTGACGGCACCGGTACAGCGCCCACAATGCTCGCTTGCCCTCACGTTCAAGTAAACCCAGCTTGAATTAAGATCATCAGCTTTGATTTGCTACAGTGGGAGGATCACTGGATCGCTATCTTCACATGCCTGGTTTGAGCAGAAGCCTGCTGTCACCTACTAGATGTGCCGGATTTTGTGCAGAAGAAAACTGTAAGGGGCATGTATGACTGCAGGAGAGGGTGAGGACACACATGCAGTTACATGGAGACATCTGGCAGCAAGTCGACTCAGGAAGACGGAGCACCACAAAGGATTTGAGAGAACGGCGGGAAGAACACAGGGCGGAGTACTGCACTTCCGGCCTCGGTCGAGACATCCTGGACAGCGTCACGAGCCAGGCGCACCTCTCAAGCGTAACGGGCACATGTGCATTCTATTCCCTCGTGTCCCTGGTTTTTAGTCGGAGGTCATTTTAGCGAAGGCTCTTGAATCTAGATGTAAATCTATCGTGCAAAGAAACAGAGCAAAAGCAGTGCAAGTAGAAAATGTTAAAACGGTTCATTAAAATGAAGACTAGAATAGACCAGAGGACCTCTAAAGAGCCTAGAAAAATAAGGCTCGTTATCCAACAACTGTCTGATGCAATAACCGCTCGGTGTAAAAAATATGGGGATTTCAGAACCGCAAACAGGATTCTTACACAATCAGTTATAAATAAACCCACAGCTGCAGCTTATTAGCACACCCTGGCGCTATATATCACACCTCAGAGCTCATCGGAAATGCCGCTGCCACTCCCTCTCCCTGCCCACCCACACCCCTCCTACAGCAGAACACATTCCTTGAAAAACTGAGACTTCAAGTTCATTACTAAGAAGTTAATACTTGATAGCCAGCTTTTCCCCGGGAAATGGTCATTTCTGAAATTGGGATGCAGTGAAAGATCACATAAACTGTATTTTGGAAAAAACACTTTGATAATGACGAATCAATTCTTAATGAGAAAAACTTCATGGAAGCCTCCTCTGATGAACTCCTTCACATCTGAAATACTGATTGACTTTCACTGAGAACCCTGAATGAGTTCAGCGAATGCGGTCCCTCAGAAAAATACTTCTCTATTCATTCCCCCTTCCTACCTGTACTTCCTGAAACACACAACGCCTACTTTTAAAAGCCTTATGACACCTCGCACACCAGTTAAGATGGCTGTAGAAGGAACCTCACTTGGTTGTCTATTAGTAGTAACCCAGCACACTGGGAGGGGGAGAAAGGAGAGGGTATAGGAGGGAAAACGGTGGCAGGAGGAGACCTGACTTTGAGTGGACACACAATACAATACACAGATGACATATTATAGACCTGTACACCTGAAACCTATGTCGCCCCAACAAATTCAGTGAAAACATTTTTTAAAAGCCCAGCACACTGAATCAGCAGAGAGATTAAGCACAGGGCTGGAGGCCGTGCGGAGGGGAACGATGGGACTCGGCCGGCTGTGCTGAGCCAGCCAGAGTCCTCCGTGTCCCGGTGGGACCGCTGCGCCCCGCGGACAGAGGGCGTTTTCGTCTGTCCGCATCGTGGTTCGTGCAGGTTCCACGTTTGGTGTGCGTCACTACTGCGAAGCCTTTTGTACACACACACTTCAGTGCACTCCAACGGGTTGTGGAAGAGAAAACAGGACTCGGGAACCACGGAGAGACACACGACGCACAAACTCAAAGCGGTCGTCCCCCCCCCACCACCCCCGGGGAGAAAAGGCGGTAAAGAACACGTGTGGGGGAGGAGCACCGAGACACACCGCAGGATCACGCGTGCTCACCGCCCTCCCTCCGTTCCCAGCGCTTTCCAACTCCATTCCCTTTACGCGCACACACTCGGACGCTACCTCCAGAAACCTACGATCGCCTTCACGTGCCAGTCCCCGAGACCTCTGGGTGCGCTCCCCAGTGAGGCCGAGCGCCCTGGGCCTGCAGCGGCACTTCCAGCTGGCGGGGGTGGGGGGGAGAGCTCCGCACCGAGGGGGCTCTGAGCGCGGAGCTGTGCCTGTCTACTCGGTTACCTGCCAGATCCCTCCCGAGTGCTCAGGCAGGGCTGTTTGGGAGTTCCGTGCTGTTTCCGTCGCACGGTAGAAACAGCAGCGCATCTAAGACGGGGAGACCTGGACCTGCGTGTTGGTCTGTCACTTCTTAACCCTCTTGGAGATTCAATTTCTTCAGTAATAAAACGGACAGTCTTAGATGCTTCATAGAATTTTTAAATAAAAACTCAAAGAGAACACAGTAAAGTATCTAACCAAAGAAAAACAGGCACGTGACAGGCACCCCCCAAAACACACGGCAGTCGTTCTCATGAGAACACCCCCATTTCTCCTCGCTGGAGGGGCAGCTGTCCCACCATCCCTACGACCCCGGCACCGTCTGGCCGCCACACTCGCGGCCTTATAAACCGGGGAAAACACATCAAGCGGGCTCTTCGGGGTAAGTAGACTGAAACGTTACCGTAACTCTCTTCCCTCGAAAACTAAGTAGCTGCTGGTGTTGCTATTTTTTGCTGTCGAGGCAGAAGCAAGGGATCCACCCGGGGCCGCACTGATGATGCACCACAGTTACAGAGACGAGAGCACCTGCGGGCAGCCGGCAGAGCGCCCCCCACAGGGCCCAGCGGCCGCGAGAAGCCCGAAGTGGAGGAGAGGGGTGGTGAAGGCAGGGGCCGGGGAGGAAGGACTGGGTGCAAAGAAAGGACGAGGGAACTCAGGCCCGTGGGAGGGAGCACACACGGCAGTCCAGGCATGTGGGGGCAACGCGAACAGAGTTCCGAGGTGATCACGGGAACTGAGTGGCCTAACAAAGAAACTCTCTTAATAGATGGTTTGTGTTAGAAAATAAAAATAAGTTTAGACAAATAGCGTTATTTCAGATTCCTGAAAATCTTGAACAGTGCTAGTAGTTTAGACGTAACGCCTCAGGTCAAACATGTACGGCAAGAGAAAAATTAAGGAGTGACGTTCAAAATCACGTCTCTCACTAGAGTGGACTCTATACTTATTTTAAAGGCTGACCTCTAATTAACTACTCAGATTGAAATCTAGGTTACCTTTGAATCAGTTCTTCTGTTTTCTCCCCTTACAATTTAAATGGGATTTTTTGAAGAATCATATTTAATTGTGAGGATAATACAATTTTTAAAGTACATAAAGGCACTTGAAGTAAAATAGATATAATAATCAAGTTGAGGAAATATATTTATCAAATTATACTGTAATTTTTAGTGATGGCCAAATATACAAGTTGGAGTTAAATGCAAATACTGAGTTTGAAGGGGAACTCTCTGAACGACCTAGGGTCATTAAAGGTAGTAAGCAATGTCTGACTGTCTGAATCCCCCGGGCGATGGTTCAGGACATCCGGCGGCGGTGCACAAGGGTGAGCTGAAGGGGACATAAAGGTGTTGAAAGTAATCTATGAAGGGAAGGGGGGACAGGAATGAGGAGACGAAAAGCACAAATAAATGCAAAAAGAGATAAACATAGGCGGTATTTCGAACAAAGTATTATTATTACTTGATGAATAATTAGAAGATTAAAAAAAGAGGTTCAACAATAATGATTTAAGAGTTTCAGGCTCGAAAGACTTAGAAGAATGATAAAGCCAAAAGGACACAAGGAAGTTCATCTGTCAGAAGCTGAAAGGAAAAATCTAAGAAACAGCACTTCATAATACATTTCTTTTGGTTGTACAGAATAAATCCTCAAAGAGTGCACTGCCTGACTTAAACTGACCTCACTTCTTTTTGTGACCAGTTAGGGTCTTTGAAAATTAAGTAAAATTTAATTTTTTAATTCAACAAAGACTTATAAAGCAAATACAAACATAAAAGGGCTCAAAGCCTGATCATGTTACAGCACTTCTCACAGACGCAGCCCACGGGCAGTGTTTTACGGTCGGGGGTTCGGGCACGTCCGAGTGGGTGAGCACACTGCAGGGACGGATGCCCGGAGAGGGCACGGGAGCCCGGGCCACCCCACCCCCGCCGATACCTTCCCTGTGCACCTTCTCCAGGTTACAGCCTTTATAAAAAACTGGTAAACACTCGGCCACATTTGGCTGATTAAACATCTAGATGTTGCCTTTTGGGAGACAGATCTTTGACCCCAGCTTAAGATCCTGATTTAGTACACTCACTAGAAGACTGACTGTTCTAGCCTTTATTTTTGCCAACGAAAAGATCAAAAAGAAGCCCAGTCCATTACTCCTGATGCTTTCTTTAGAGTTGGCCTTCACAACCTCTTCCAGTCACCAGCTCCCAAAGGGACCTTGCAAAGCCATCATCTTACGTGGCTCCAGGGTCGGTCTGAGATCACACCTATCACTCCTGTGCAACGAACGGGTGGGTGGCGGTCGCTGTTGGAAATGCTTTCCCCTTCTCAAATGGAAACATGACGGGATCGCTGCAAGACTGGACGTGACAGGGACGGGATCTCTGCTTCTCTCTCCCGCGTCATTCTGAGCTATTTCGTAATAAAATAAGAGAACTGTGTATCGCACAAAGAAACAATGACAACAACAGTGAAGGTTCCTGGGTCTCACCCTCAGAAACTCTGACTTATGAGTAATTCTGGGGTTTAGAAATTTGCTTTTTGAACACACATTCTAGGTAATTAATAATTCTGAAGTACACATTAATAGACCATATGTTGAAAAACACTAGTATAGATGTTGAAAACTATAAATGTGGAACTCAGAGAAAGGAGAAATATGGATTTTTCTGCTTCTGGTCAGGGGCCTGGTGAGGAGGAAGGAAGAAAGATTTACTTATTATTTAAAAAAGAGAATTTATGGCTGCTTATTTACCAGATCCTATGCAAGGACAAGAGACTACCAAGATTAATAGGACAGGAGTTTTAACCCAGGGAAGCTATTCAGTTTAGTGAGAATGATTATGCAAGTAAGAGTTTATCTGTAACACTTACACAACCCTATATACATTTATTTGGCTAAAAAAGATAGCACATTTAGTGCTTGAATGTGAATTACACAAATGGCTCACAGAACTGCAGCGGCAAGTTGCCTTCGCAAACGACGATCTGTGAGAATTGAAGACGAAGTGGGGGGGGCGGGGCTGCGAGCCGGACCGCTGTCCACACGTGCAGCTCACACGCCCTCCCGAGCGCCCCGTCCTCTCACCCTGCATGCGTGTGTCGCACTCGCCATGACCAAGTAGGAGACACGGAGTCCGCACAACCGCACAGCAGGCGGTTCTGGACGCCCCGCCCACACTGTCACGTGCCATTGTGCCCTCAAAGCGTCGTGTAAAGTTGGGGTAAGGGGGGGTAGCACAACGACAAATGAATTCAGAAAATGCTGGCTTTCACTGCACGTGGAAGCCCAAGCTCTAGAACACTGCACATTTAAAACAGTATTGCCTGTGTGTGAGTGATGGGAAGGAGAAACGGGAACTGTTCTTTCCAGAGAACTTTGGAAGACTTAGGGGAAACGATAATGGGCGTCCTTGCGGAGCGGGCGAGTCCTGCCACCGGCAGTATGCAGCAGGTGTGAGCAACGCCCCGCGGGAAACAGGGTGCGAGTCACCCCTACAATGGAGGAAGGTAGGGCTGGATCAACCTCACGGTAGTCGTCCACCCAGCCAATGAACACCACTACTTTTCGTGGCGACGACACTCAATTGGAAGGGCTTCCGGGCTTATGGCATCACAATAGACACCAAACAGAGGTGCAGGGGAGGACCTCTGGGCACGGCAGTGGCCAGGGCAGCGGCGCAACGGTAACAAGACAAGACAGAATCCACGGTGGGGGCTTGAGGCTCTCTGAGCAGTTTGGTGCTACCGGGCATTACGGGTGCCAGTGAAGGGGTGGGTGCCGTGCTGGAGGGCAGGGGTGCCCTGATGGGTGAGGACGTGAGGGGTCACACAAGGAGGCCTGGCTCTTATTCTGCAGCCAACGATCGTAGTTCCCCTGCATGTGCTTGAGCATACGAAACCAATTCAAGCAGCATTTACTTATGCCTTTTAACAAGAAAGAAAATGGTATTCAATATTCACTCTCCTGCTACTAATATGGAAGTTTGTAGGAACTAACTGAAAATAAACATCTAGAAACCAAAGTTAAATCCCTTCCCTTATCAAACTACTTTGGACATGCTTAAGCATGGTGGGATAATAATGAAATTTTAGGTTAACAGCACAATTCAGAATGCATTCTCAAATTAACATATTCCTTTTTTCTCTTAAATAAAGCAAAAGAAAACACCCAACAAACAAAATCCTGGTAGCTTAAAGATCTGTGTCAATCCTAGGCTTCAGAACTAGTATCTGCAGAAGGACAAATGTTATTTTTAAAAAAGCAATTTATGAGAAAAAAATTACAAGACCCACCGTAATAGAGGTCAAATTCCATTACGGTACCTATAAAAATGGCAATAATGAAGTACTAAAAATGTCAACAGACCCATTAAATCCTATTTCGTTGTTTCCGTGACAATATTCACCATAAAACATCGAATGCAACGAACGTTCTCATGGAGGCTGTCCGTACAGCACTGGACTTGGGGTAAGGAACAGCTACACTTTGTGTAATTTACTTAACGAAGAAATGCATCCCAGGTTTGCTCCGGTCCTCCAGCACCTGTCGGCCTCCTCCTCCTCCTCCTCTCCATCCCCCCCACCCCCTCTGGCGTGGACGCTGTGGGAAGTGGGGGGGCACTGGGAAGGAGATGGGGGCCACCGTCTTCCAGGAGGTCAGGGTCCGAGCTCCAAATCTTCTTTCCTTCCGTGCCCCAGACAGACAAGAGTGCACTCCCATTGGCCCTCTTCCAGGCAGGGAAGTGTTCTACAGTGTTATAAACCGTCCGGCTGGAGGAAAGAAGAAAGGAGAGGAAAGGTAAAAGGAAGAAGGGAACCGGACATGGAGAAAGGAGAGACAAGAGAGAAAGATGCTCCTACGTTGTCTTCTCAGTGTTCAGTGGGGAAGTCAGGGAGAGAAACAGCCAGTGAGTGTGGGAGGTCACGGTATGGTGAAGTAGCTTTTTAAAAAACAGTTAAAGGAAAGGAGACCACATCATATTTTTTTTTTGCTTGTGTTTCTTCCTGAGGGAGTAAAAGAACAGCAAAATCCAACAGACGGCAGGTATTCCTAGTTACAATGATTCTCTCTTTCGCAGATGCTGAGAGCCGTTTATGCCTCTTGGCTACAGTGTGTAACAAATCTCTTTCCAGTGATAACGTGCATCATCTGTTCCCAAACTTGACTGCTCATATAATTTTCCAAGAAGACCTGAAGAACTTTTCAAAGTACAAATCTTTACCCTCCCCACTTCCTCCCCCACACAGGGGTGTGTACAAGCATTTGAGAGTACAACCGTTTCGCTGTATATATTTTTTTTTTACAATCCCAAGGTGATCCTGATGACCACTCAGGTTTGAAAACCATTGCTATAATAAATGTTATTATAGATGTCTCCTGCACTGCAACGGAAGTAGGCTGGCTTTACACACGCTTTAGACTCCCCAGCACTGGGTGCGATCTGATGGTTTGTACCCAGCATTTACTAAGTCAGAGAGGGATGCCTGGCTTTGAGATAAAAACATAAAAAAATTGGAAAAACAGATGTTAAGTCTCTTTGAGAGAAGATTTATTGTCACACAGCACTAATGCAATGGAGAAAGGGAAGAAGGAAGAGACTGTAAATCTAACAAAAACATTAAGCCAATAATAAATACCAGTTCCTCTACTGCTGCACACAAATTCAACATTTTCATTGCTTTTGAAAATGGGCAAAAGCCTGGAGGTTACATCCCAAGGGGCAAATGACAATTAGAAAAAAATTCTATAGCTGCAATGAACGTTCGTGTCAGGAAACATGTCTTAAGTGACTCTACTAGAAGTACCTCCCACCTCTACTCCAGCACGTCTTTGGTTTCAAAAAATACTATTTAATCAATTATGCAACAAACAAGGTAAAGGCCAGGGCCGAAGGACCGTATCATTCATTTCAACAATCACCTATCAGCTGCACGTCCTGTGAAACCATTAGCTTACTGCTAGAAATAGTTTTAAAAAGGACGACGGTAAAAGCAAACACACACAGATAGCTCTCACTATCTGCTCAGAACTATTCCAAACCCTTTACACCGGTCAGTTTTAACCGCACCCAGACCTGAGAGGTGGGTTACTGTCACCATAGGCACGTTACGGACGGGGCACCGACGCCCAGTGCAGCGCGGACCCCAGCCTGGTGGTGGACGCAGCGAGTGGGCGGTCTGACCCGAACCCCGGCGGCCTGGACCCAGAGTCTGTGCCCTTTCTTACCCAACATGCTAGGATGCCTTTTTCTCAAGGACTTTGCAGGTTGGCAAAAAATGTGAGACAGGAACACAAATAACAGCACAGTACAGGGTATGACGGCCCCACTAGCAGGAGGGGGTCACAGGATTGGACACAGCTGGCTCCAGTCCACCACTGAGTGGGTCAGCTTTGGAGAGGGACGCGGGAGAGGAAACTCGGCGTGCACGGGACCTTTAGCCCATCACAGGCCTAGCAAGTGTCCACATGCACAGCTTCCTGGACGTCCCCCCACTCACACAGAGAGGACGGAGAGCTGCCAAGGACATTTAAGACGCAAGCCTTGGTTTCCTGCCAGTCTCACACCGTTCGCTTTGCATAGACGCAAGGCCGATAGGCCAACTCACAGTCTTCCCACTGCAGATGCAAGACCACAGGTGAGGTTTCATTGTCGATGTAAGGTAACTCGGTCTTAGCACACAACACTCCTTACTTGTCTAGGCTCAGTGTATTTCCATAAGATAGTGCTGTGGGAAGGCAGGCCCAAGGTCAGATTCTCAGGCAGGCCTAGGTCTGCTCAGAGTTCAGGGTGGACACTAAATCTGTACTCACACTGCAGATGGCAAGTCATTTATTCCCCGAGACGCAAAGACTTACTGAATCTCTGTCTTGATGTCCTGCATCGACTCTGTAAAGTTCTTAACAACAATTTTTCTAATATTTGCTTCAGCAGGATTATCTCTCATTTCTCCCTTTAGGGTGCCCATTGAATATGCTGATCTTTCTTACTTCACCTGCTATTCTTTCCTGTAATTTTTTTCATCACTTTGTCTCTCCACGCTTCCTTCAGTATATTTTCTTCCAACTTACCTACAAGTTCATTAATTCTGTTTTCAGCTGAGGCTTATCTTCCATTCAACCCAACCAGAATTCTTAATTTGGTAATTATATATTTTCGGTTCCAGAATTTTCATTTTTAAAAGTTTCTAGTTCCCAGTTTAAATGTTTAGAATTGTCTTTAATCACGTCAGCATGGATGATTTCCGGCTTTGTCTGATCCCTCCAATATCCAGAGATGCCGTGATTTTGTTTCTATTGTCCACTGCTTTTGCTGGATTTATCCATGCTGTCTTCTTCCTCTATTTTTTTATTGTGCCTTAGTTACTGCCTTTGTAATTTTGAAAAAACAGTAAAATAAATGAAAGCCTCAGGTGATGTCCTGCAGAGGATCTCCCAGAGAGGATTTAACGGGGCATCCTGCAGACACTAGCGACCCAGGCTCACCTCCCTGTAACTACAGGACTGATGTGATTTGAAGCTGAGCTGCAGTTTCTGTTCGGGCGTATCTCCCACTGTTCACCGCAGACTGCAGCCCCTGGGAGCCTAGACGGAAAGAGCGAGCCAGTACGGAGGTGGGCGCGAGACAGCGGTCCGCGAGCCCCTCTCTCGGAAGCCTCCGTGAGCGCCCTCAACCCCTGGCGCGTGCTCCCGGCGACCAGTCTCCCCAACAGTCAGGCCCACGTTCCTAGGCTGGGATGCTTCTCTATCTTGTTTACTTTCCCGTTTCTTCAAGCAGATTCTTCTTTTTTATAATACATACACTTGGCCCAACTTTGCTAGTTCTCCTTAAGGGAGGGCTGGTCCACATCACTTAGTCTGTCATTACCAGAACTAGAAACTGAGGAGGAGAACTTTAAATAAGGCAGCAGAGGACTGTGTCCTAGAGAAGTGAAACTGTACCTGGAGCTCAGGTATCTTAAAGTACCCATCAACAAGAATTTTTTTTGCGTCAAAAATAAAACCAACCAAGCAAGCACCTAAAAAGCTATTTTTAAAAAGATGACATTAAAGAATAATGATTACGAAAATCAAAATAAATTATTTCTTCATTATAACTTATTAGAAAGCTTGTAATTTAAAGTGCATGAGTAAGTGACAAGTTTGAGAAAACATTTTTTTTTGTGACCGAGAAGTAACAACTTTCTTGTTAAGAAATTAAATGTTTAAATATTCCTGTGTAATTGTATTTTGTAGAGAGCAATTTGGCTGGAAATAATATTTAATGAGTTGTCTGTAAAGACCACTCCCCTTTATCTACACCAAAACAACTTCCTCCTAACGCAGTATCGGGTTCAGCTGCATGCTCACTGAGCACACGCTGCGTGTGATCATGGAGGAAAACAAGCAGTAGTGTACACACTGGGGAAGCTCCAGTTTTACAGGAGAGACTGGGGAGCCGTGTGACAGTGGCGGCACCAGAGGCACACACGGTGCTCTGGGTGCCCGGGAGAAACATCGCGCCAGCACGCCACTGCTCCATGAGTGACATTTCAACCACTCCCTGAGATACAAGGGACACAAGGCTGAGCGAAAAAGAAAATGCACGTCACACATCCATTTATATTTTAAACTTTAAAACTCACCTGTGCACACACAAACGTAAAGCATCATGTAAGACGCCGCGGTGCGAACACCGCTGGAAACTCACCCCGTCTGGCAGCGCCCTCCAGCACACGGCGCTGACGAATTCGTTCGTGTCGTCTTCTTTCCGGTCTTTGTCCAGGACACTTTTGACCGTGTCAAACTTAAAAGTTAGCAAAGTCTTAGAAAGTCCTTTATAGTACAGGTAAAGAGAGTTGTTTTCACTTCCTGAAAAATAAAACAATACTTTTTTAGAATGAGACAACTCAGAATTAGGACAGCACATTCTTAAGGTAATTTATGACTCAGTGTTTAACCTCAAAGGCTAATCATCTTTTATGGTTCAACTGGAAAGACCAGAGCCCAGGATTTCTTGAGAATCATGTCAGATAAGAATTCACAGAGAAAAGCTATCTATACCTTACTAATCTAAAGAAATAATCATTGTTAAATGATATAATAATATTGGTAATTTCAGGCTGAAATTACCATACAAAAATCATTTCTAGGAAAGGTCTAGAGAAAATAAAAAATTGTTACTATTGCATGAATCTTCAATTATATTTAGAATGATTTCATCTAGAGAGAAAAAACAAAGTTATCGCACCTATAAAGGTACATTTTAATAACCTACAAAATTTATTTCTCATTCCCCAGTCAAGGCACTACTCTGGTAGTGAGTGGCCTAGAAACCTGTGTTTTTGAGCAGTCTATGAGAAGTAATAATTATGCAGAGACTTGTTCTGGCTGGGCTCACTCAGTGACGGCCAAGTCATTTGAAGGGACTGATGAAAGTTCATAGGTTCAGGCATTAGATACATTACAACATTTGAACAATACTAAAGTTGATTTTTCTACTTCTGACTTAAAAATGTCTAAATTCTCAACAACAAAAAGCCCCAGAACAGCAGACCAAGACTACCTAGACAGACTGCTTCGAGAAGAGACCACTTTGTAGGGGAAACGAGTATCCAGCTCGAGGAGACAAGCAATGTCTCCTCAGTTAGGGTACTAGCAGACAGTTTTTCTGTCTTTCACAGAGCATGTATAAAAACTGTGTTACAGTGGAGAACGACTGAAAACATACACGCCAGCCTCCCCCGAGGGCGTGGGGCCCGGGTTTGTCAGTGCGCAGCACAGGAGGGGACGGACCAGTGCAGTGCGACCCAAGGGAGCTCAGCACGCTGCCCTCCGAGGGCGCGGGTCCTGTCCTGGCGTGGTGGGAGAGTCCCCTGGAGACTATTTCAGCAACGGACGCCTGTGCAAAAGTCTGGGAAAAGCTGGTTCTCCTTACCGCAGGCTATGTAATCTCCGTTGGAAGCGAGGCCTACAAAGTTCTTCTCGTTGATGTGGCCCTTGAAGGAGCGCAGACAGTACGGCTTCCCTACATTCCACAGCTTCAGCTGGCTGTCCGTGGAGCTGAGGCAAACACAGAAAGTTAGAGCATTTAAGGTTTCACGGCATGAAACTCGGCACCACTCATCAGAGGCGATCCAGTGTGGTGGACGAGAACGCAAAATCTGGGGCAAGACTGAGTCCGAACGCTCAGTGTGCCACTGATTCGTTTCTGACCTTGGGGACGTTATGCGACCTCTCTGGTTTAAGTTTTACTCATCAGTTAAACGTGGAATGTAATGATTCCACCTTATAGAATCAGATGAGTCTTATGATAAAATATTTTGAAAACTGAATCATTTAAAAACTGCTTTCAATAGTACCTGGGCATTACTAAATATTAGTCATTGGTAACCATCAAATGAGAAAGGTCTATTGGGAGTTGTTCTAATTTCACGAATGTAATTGTTCCACTTGCTTGGTTCACTTTTCAACTGTTGAGTGGTATTGGTGCACTGATATAAACTATTTTCACAGCTCAGTTCTACCCTCACGGGTGGAAGTGGGGTGTCCAACCTGCCCCCACAGGCCGCATGCAGCCCAGGATGGCTGTGAGTGCGGCCCAACACAACGTCACAACTTTACTTAAAACATCGTGAGATTCTGTGATTACGCATCACAATGTATTTCATGTGTGGCCCAAGCAACTCTTCTTCTCCCAGTGTGGCCCAGAGACCCCGAGAGGGTGGGTACCCCTGCAAATGGTTGAATGGTCTACGTGAGTAGCTCGTCTTACTGAAATAATATGCAAAAGTAGTTGTTTACCAAAAAAAGAATTGAATATAAAAATCACTGATAATTCTATCATATAGAGACAGTCTAGGGACTTAAATAAAGCTACATGTTTTGTTTTTCTCTTTTTGTTACAAAAACTGGGTCATACCATACATACTATTTTGTAAATTGCTTCTCCATTCAGTAATTTGTGTTATATTTTTTCTGTAAAATAAATCATTTTGTATCTTTACGAATGACTGTAATAAATCATCTTTTCTTACTCTAACATTCATACAATAAAGCACCATAACTGTTTTACAAACATTATTTTATTTAAAGATGCACCACAAAATCAGCACTGTTATTTACTCCATCCGGAGATGAGGGCGCAGACTGAGAATGAGAAGGCTGAGGACACTGCCGAGGTTCCAGAGCCAGTGATCAGTGGGGCCGAGACTGAACGGGTCGTACCTCGGAGGCCACACCCCAAACTCTTGAAGTATTTCTCTATTGTTTCTTAGCATTTTTCAACATAACATCTGTTCTTAGGTATTTATATTAAAGATTTTTTTTGCTTAACAGTATTGCTCTGAATATCCTTGTATATGTATATATATTTTATAATTGGCTAAGAATTCAGAGGTTACAGCAACATGTATATTTTAATCTTACTTCTTAGTATTTCCAAATATACTTGTGAATGATTTTGTTCTAAGTACCTCTAAACTTCAACATTTTCTCTTGTCCAAGAGAAAAATCACCTTGATTTATAAAAATTAAGAAGAGCAAAAAATTGGTTAAAATACAGACATATCCACATTAATAAGGTCAACTGAGATTTCCAGTATATACAATTAATTATGTGTATACTTTACCTAGTTGAAATAAACTGATTCAACATTTATAAATCTGAAATTAAAGAAAAATATATTTGCCATATTTAAATCTGAATAAAGTTGAATTGTTTGCTGCCCGTCATCACTCCTAATGAGAAGATACTTTTCGACCGACGACCACTGAGTTCGGACTTGTGAACCAGTTGCCTATACTCCCTCCCCTCGTGCAGCTCAGTTCCCGCTTTCTCTGGTTCCCTTTCTCGAAACTCAGTGCGAATCACCAAGCTCTTATCTAGGGCGACTGGCACGAAGGCGGATGCGGTGGGGAATGCCAGGTATGAGGACCTGGCATTAATAATCTCCTAAAAGAGATATGAAATTAAGTGAAAAAAAAAAAAGATAATGTATCGTTTAGCTGGAGAAGAAAAAGGAGAGAGAAGTTAAGAACGGGGTTTTCTAGCGCACAAAGTGGCCTGCGGAAAGCAGGGGCGGCCGCTGCCGGCGGAAAGGCATCGCCCACAGTCTTTTGGCCACAGAGACGGATTTACCTGGTCGACATCCTGTTACCTTTAAACAAAACAAACGACAACTAAAAGCTGTAATGCTATGACTCCCTAGGTCAGAAGTTTCTATTTGTTGGGTATAAGCATTCACAGTTGGCAAGTTCTCTTCAAAACACACGTAAAACTCACCATGAAATCACAGGGAGGTCAAGAAACACGGAATCATAAAAGTCAACCATTACTTAAAGCCAAAAGTAATACTAGAGTTGACTTAAATGAAACACTTCTTATTCTATCCCTTCAACTATGTTGTTTCTCACTTAAGAAAAAAACGGTGTCTGAAATTCAGTCGAAGTTCAAACATTTAAGGGGATGACATTAAAAATCAGTGTAATCGGGATTTTATTCACACATAACACATTAGAGTGATACAGATCAGAATATGCACATACTTTAATTAGACAAGTTATAGAAACTACTACTTAAGAAAAAGTGCATACACCACAGTGTCACCCTCTATAAACGCCCACGGTGACATCGTGAAAACGGTAAAGGAGGACAGAGCTCCGTGTCAAGTTCAACCTCTGAAGAGAGTAATACTCACGCAGAGACAATTTCCTCACCGCTCACAAACTTGGCGTAAGACACTGCTTTCCGGTGCCCTTTGAACACCATGATGGGCTGCTTAGTGTTACGAAGGTCATAGTAGTGGACACAGTGATCTAAAACAAAACAAAACAAAACAGAGAAAAATGTGGTAAACGGAGAAATAGAAAGCCAGGCTAATATTAACTGGTTTGGGTGTTTTTCTCAAATATTTCACAGTCAATGTCAACCTGTAATAGCCAGAATATTAAGGGCCATGATTCTTTTCAAAGATAATAAAGATATAATGGTCCTCCACCCCCAACCTAGGAAAATACGGCTGTATCATAAAATGTAAACGCACACACATTTCCGATGATCCTGGTCCAGAAACAGAGCAGTGGGAGCTCAAGTAAATGGAAGTTTAAAAATGAGTCTCCACCCTGGCTGGCATAGCTCAGTGGATTGAGCACGGGCTGCGAACCAAAGTGTCGGAGGTTCAATTCCCAGTCAGGGCACATGCCTGGGTTGCAGGCCACCGCCACCAGCAACCGCACATTGATGTCTCTCTCTCTCTCTCTCTCTCTCTCTCTTTCTCTCTCTCTCTCTCTCCCTCCCTCCCTCCATTCCCTCTTTAAAAAATAAATAAATAAAGTCTTAAAAAAATGAGTCTCCAAATTTTGATGGCTTTATTAAAAGATGATTTAATATTTTGGGCTTCTAGCTAAACATAATGCTATATAATCTTACTTCCCACATTTGCTTTGTAAAATACACTTTCATGAGAGACACTGTGCATATAATAAAAACTGTAAGTATGAGATTCATGACGTTCACTAAATTTCACGAACATTTTCCTCCTCCACTGAGACCCCACACGCCTGCTCACCGCACTAGGCAATCACTGCATTGACCTGTGTATCATCTGCCTCGCCTGGACAGTCTGTGCAGTGGAACCCGTACCACGGCGGCTCCCCTGTGCGGTTCCTTACACTGCACATGCTTTCTGAAGTTCACCCAGGTTTTAACATGTGTCGGCAGTTCACTCCTTTTTCTTGCTTACGAGCATCCCCTGGATGGATCTACCACACTTCGTCTGGGCACCTACCAGTGAGAGATCTGTTTCCTTTTTTACTATCATTACTAATGCCGCTATGAACAATCGTGTTGAAGTCTTTGTGTGGACACATACTCAGGTCTTGGGTAGGTACCCATGGAAGTGTAATTACTGGGAAATGTGATAATTTTGTGTTTAACTTTTAAAGAAAACTGACAAACTGTTGGCTGTACCATTTCACATTCCTACCAGCAACACAAGAGGGGTCTGGATTCATTTCTGGACTCTCCGTTTCTCCCACTGGGCGGACTGCACTTTGAGTGGCACGGCTAGAGTACATCTGTCATTTTCTTAACTACCTGGAGGGTTCTTCCCGTATTCTGAATAGTAATGCTTATCTGTACATGTGTTGTAAGTATTTCCCCCCAATTAATGACTTTAAAAATATTATTTCTTTCAGGTATTATTTGATGAACAAAGGTCTTAAGTTTTATAACAGCCAAACTTACCTACCCTTCATTTACAGCGTCTAGTTTCTGTACCCGAAGGCACCCCTGCTACGAGAGCACGAGGATGCGCTCTCTCACCCTGCGCTGCTCACCCGGGCGTGGGGTGGGGTGGGGTGTTCCACGAGCAGAACTGCAGTGTCATTTTCGCACCCCAGCTGACTCCGAGGCGATCCAGTCGCCGTCAGCCGCCTACTCCTCCACCAAAACAAGGCTGTTCCGTGTACTTTCCCATATCCTTGTCTCACGTGCACCCCTTACAAAGAGCGCAGTATTGCGTTTTGAACATTTTAACTAGTCTGTTAGTCCTTGCCTTTTATTCGGACCCATTAACCCATTTCCATTTACCAGTCATTAGATATATTTGAATCTCTATCAATGAGCTACTTTTATTTTTTAAATTATCCCGAGTTTTCTATGCTTCCCCCTTCCTTTCCTTTCTTGCTTGCTTTTGGATTGGTCAAATATTTTTCTCTCCCCGCCCCTTAACCAAATTACAAGTTTGGATTTTGTACTTTGGTTCTATTATTTTAATGGTGTCACTTGAAATTTTATCATGTACTTCATACTTCCCAAGTGTTTGTACTGATTATTCAATTTAGTTTCAAAAATGAATAATGATTATTTCTGTAGTAAAAGATACCTGATGTAAAAATATCTCTGCATTTAATACAAACATAAAATTTCTTGTGAAGCCCATTTTTAAAAGGTCTAGCTAGTGGGCTAATTACGGGCTGAAAGGCAAGACACATAAATAAGTGAAAGATTACTGGGTGCTTCAAAGTTGTTTTTCAGCCCGTAAAACCCCGTAGGGGTTTTTCAGCCCCTAGCATTATAAAAAGTAGATTTTATTTATGACAAAGTACTAGACTAATTTGTTTCTTGAATACTGGCTTTATGCATGCCATTTTCTTTATTCAAGTTACTTGGAAACTTGAAAATAAAATGTCTTTGATAGTCATTTCTTCCTATTATCTATGTAAGTACAGATAACTGAAATGCATATTCGTGGATGTTAGTTACAACATGAATCAAGATTTATTAAAGACATATGCAGACATTCAATTTATTTAAATGTGAAAGAAAAGACTTCATTCCCACTGGCAACCGCTGTATAAAAGCCAAGGCCGATTTATAAACCCAACAAACCTAAAGTGTCTCCCATTACTCAGACAAGACAGGAAAACAGAGTAGAAGTCACCCTGAGCAACTACATGTCTACCTTACCCCAGCTTTTCCACGGTAACTCTGTAACACGAATGAAATTAGATTTCATAGCTCCTTAAACTAAACACCAGGTTCTCAAGTTGGAAGGAATTAATTGTATTTTGGTGAGAGGGATGTCAGGGGAGCAGGGAGGAGCGTAGAAGGTAGTCCAGAAACAGACTTCAAAGATCTGAAAATATCCTAAGTTTGTGTGTTTTATATAGTGTAAATGTTCATCTTTCAAATCCACCCTGATTTACAATATATGTCTAGTTTTAAATAAAGAAAAATACTTAATTGGCTTCCTCCTCAAGAAATACTGTCTACCTACGGAAATATACCTGTACAACTATTAACAGTAGTACCTTTGAGGAGATAGTTTAATAGTATTTGATCACGGGAACTGAAGCTTTATCCGTAACATACGAAAGCTGAGAATGAGGATATAGTCTTAGACTATTCGTGTAAGTAAACACAAACAATTTTCAATGTGGACAAATTTTTTTAAAGCTGCATATGTAAGATAGCCTCAGACAGCTTTACTGAGAATCAGGAAACCTTTCTAGAAGATGAAGCTCTATAACAATTCTGCCGCGTGAAAATGTGCGCAGAGAAGTCACCACGAGAGGTGCAGAGGGAACACTGAAGCTGATCGTGGGGCGCCCGGGACAGAACGCAAAACACCTTTTCCTTCTCCAGGCAAGGAGAAGCCACTGGAAGAGTTCGAGTGAGGGAAGTAATACAGTGCTAATACTTAAAAGTAGATTAATAATCAACAACAAAAACCCGGAAAAGGTTATTTCTTTCTTTTGAAGCCTAACAGTTATCATATGCCAAATCACAAAAACTAGAACGTACTGAAAACGGGGAAACAAGTGGTGTTTAAGTGTGTGACCTGATTCAGTTTACTGCAGGTAACAATTCACAGTAACCAAAATGAAAAATGTTTATCAATAACAGTGTTAAATAGAATATTTCAGAATTCCTGTTTGTTCTATTAATGTTACTCCTTCCCAGTGAATATGTATTAGCATTAATGCCACTCTTCAATAAGAGTAATAGTGATTTTTATCTTTGATTTCCATCACTAATTCCTGGGGTGGATAACTATTATTATTTTAAAGAGAACACTTTAAAATACCCATATTTATACTAATTAGAATTTTAAAAATTGCAAGATGGTTCAGGTCAGCATGCAAGCAACTCTAATATTTTATCAAAACCACAGATGGCTAGGAGTTCCATTTACTTTAGTCTTACAATGCTCTTCCAAACTGGCTTTAAAGAAGATAAATTGGAGAAAAGATAATTTTCTTATACCTTTTCCTACACAATAAGAGTAGGTCCTTCTTAAACAAATAACAGACAATTAATAAACACCTTTACCCTTATGTTAAAAATGTTATCCTCCCTTTTGGTAAAGGCATGTTTCGGATAATCTCAGGACTTAGGAATAGATTTTAAATGATTTAAAATAAAATTTAAAGCTTTTTTTCAATATTAATCACAAGAAGGTAGTCTAAAATTCCTGACCTATTATTTTCAAGGGGACTATAACTTAGGATTTGATATTTTAATAGAAATGCTTGTGAGTTTTTAGTTTACTTTGGGAAACTTTTCAAGGTGTAAACTCCAGTAAAAAATAAAACAAACGAAAATAATCAACAACAAAAAAAAGATCAACTCGGCACTATTTTATGACAAAAGGAGAAAAGAGCAAGATAACGAAGTACAAGCACAGAGAGAACGAGGTTCACTGTACGACACAGACATGCAAGATGTAAATGGAGACGCGGGCGGGCGGGCAGCTGAGAATCGGCACGACCACGGCTACCCACGCGGGGCCCGCAGCGTCTGCGCAGCAGGAAGTCAAAAGGTAATTCGTGTGCGGCGCGTACACCGATTATCTATTTTTCATCATTCCGGAAGCCATGTTTCACAATGTACAGCCCATTCCCAGTGTCAACTTCATTGTTACAAATGGTATTTAATAAGCAACCTCATGATTATGACTTTGTACTGCTCTCAGCGGTAAAATAAACAGTACGGTTAGAATGACGTTTCATAGTTTAAAAGAAACATTTAGGTAATAGCCTCTATTTTTGAAAATGTTTCAATTCTAAATGAAGAGGGTTCAACAACAAACAGTCTTTGTGTTCTGGTAGTGAAGCTTTTCCTTACAACTAAAGGCACGTTTTAGTGCCAGGTGCAGGGAAAAGCAGTAAGGCAGGGACAACCGGCTTCTTACGGCCTGCTCTGACATTAACCCCATTTCAACACCCCAAAATAAGTCACTATAGTTTGAAAAAATTATCATCCTAGTTAAAAAAAATTCTTTAGCAAAAATTTCTTTGCTATTATTTTTTAAAAGATTTTATTTATTTACTTTTAGAAAGAGGGGAAGGAAGGGATGGAGAAAGAAGAGAAGAGAAACATCAGTGTACGAGAGACACACCGATCAGCTGCCTCCTGCGCACTGCAAACTGGAGATCTGGCCCGCAATCCAGGCATGTGCCCTGACTGGGAATCGAACCAGCGACCTTTCCGTTTGCAGGCTGGCACTGAATCCACTGAGCCACACCAGCCGGGGTTCTTTGCTATTATTGTGATAGTAAACTTTTCATGAGCACTCACTATGTTGGCAAGCACTCCATGACAGAAGACTTTTTGTGTTTTGTTCACTGTCCCTAGGTGGGTAATTTGTGCATCATAGGCACTCGACAAGTAACTGAGGTATTTTGTTTTTAAAATGCCCCTTTATCTTACATGTGACACTCAACCAACAGCACAAGCAGACACATCTGCTTGCAGTTTTTACCTGCACAGCCGAATGCCAAGTGGTACCTGGAGGAGGGGCTGAATTTAACACAGCACACGTTGGCCTTCGCCTCGATGCTCGCCACTGAGTTGTCCAGGTTGGTAGACCACAGCTTCACTAAGAAGAAAGGACAGTGAAACACACAGAAGGAATACACAATACATGAGCAAATGCTTCTGTTACCTAGAAAGTTTGCCTACTGCTATAGCTGTGTTTTTGTGCTGAAGCATTCTGGTTTACTAGGACCAAAAACATTTAAACAGAACAACTCAGTAATAGAACAGTGAACTGAAACCAAGAGAGCCTAGTTTTCAGGTCAGAAAGCAGCACAGATGTTCAATGTACAGTAAGAGGTAACTTCATTCCACAACTAAAGCCTGTAAGTAAGTCCATCCCAGTGGCCTCCGCGGAGACCTACAATGACTAGGGGGCGGAAGGCTGGCGGTCAGAGCCGGTCAGACCCGACAGCACGAGCAGAAAGGTGGGCGGCTGACCGGGAAGGCACTAGAGTGACCACCACGTCATTTTTAACAAAAATGCCTTACTAGACACCAGAATCACATGGGAAATGTATTTTCAGGATACAGGTCACAATCCTGGTTGCATAACAGAATTAACAAACACCGTAATGCAATATAATTCAGAATGCAAAGATGTCTGAATGTTTCAGGAAAAAAAAGGTTTATTCAATGGTGTATATATAAAGAAACTGGCTACCAAAATGTCACCATTTGGCATGAATCCGGCAAAGGTTATAATGAAGATGCAATATATTCATTTTCCTTTCGTTACAAAAGAGATGTAGATTTTGGGGTTCAGGTTATTTTTTGAACAATCAGTAAGCACAAAGGGTTAGTGTAAGTTCCAATAAATACACTAAATAAATACTGTCAATAAGTCTCTGACAGTAAAGAGAATGAAGGAGATGTGGGGGGAAGAAAAGGTGACTCAAATAGTACCTTTTGCATCATCAGAACCCGAGGCCAAAAGTTTAGGGTCCATCAAATTAAAGTCAACGCTCCAACACCTCTTCTCATGCTCCTGAGTGTAGAAGGAAGGCAAAGGAGTCTCAGAGAGAATACAGGTCTTAAAATAAATAGAGCAATAAAGCAAAACAAAACAATACAAAAAACCACTTGACATCAATTTACTGCTATGGTGGGGGGGGGGGGTGGCGGAGAGAATAGGCTACCAAAACAAAAGAAACATGAAGTAGTTCCAAACGTTTTATATATCATATATATTTACTAAAACTGGATACATTCTGCAAATGCAAAAGTTTGGGAAGATGCTTCAGAAAGTATTATTTAATTTTACATAGGTATAAAAAATGCTAAATAGTGACTTTAAATTATTAATTATAAAGCATATGAAGCTTTACAATTAGGAAGAAAGCAAAAATGTGACTCTTAAAACAAATAATAGTATCCTTATTTACCTGATAGACCTTTGACCTCTGTCCTGTGAACCCATCCCATAGGATGACGGTGCCTTCATAGTCACTGCTTGCTAACAGGTTCTTATGGTAACTACTCCAACTGATACAGCTGAACGAAACACATATATTTTAAGTCTCACTTTATGTAAAAACACATAACAATGGACAAAGGATTTTGATGTGTCTAGAAAGATCAGAACCCTTTTGAAATGTTCTAGAAAGAAACATATCAATTAATCCCCAGATTTTTCTACTGAAACCACCAAGTAACAACCGGTGGTACCACTTTTCACTCTGTCGCTGCCTGGAAGATGGATACGAGCCTAAGGCTGCCATTGGCTGCCTCTGATGCCTGGAAACAAGTACGCCGAGGGGTGAAGCTAACAGAGGCCGAGGGGCACAACGCATGCTGGGGCAGAGGAGAGAGACTGAATCCGGCTGTTTAGGCCCCTGAATCCAGGTGTGCCCAACCACAAAAGCCAATAAACTAGTTTAAATTGAGTTTCACTTTACATCCAAAAAAACCTTAACCAACAGAATCTTATGACTGAAATTCCAATTAAAAGCATTTAACAGCAAGAATTAGACTTTTAACATTTATGCTTTCTGCTATTCTCAAGCGCACCAAAATTGAGAATGCAACAACTAAAAATGTATGTTTTTGTTGAGACACAGATGTGAATTGTGCAATTACTAAAGCATATAGCACATTAAGGAAGCCACTTTGAAAGCAATTAACCTAGATGACTTCCAAGCATATGAACATAATAAAATCTTTTGCTCTCTACTAGCTGCATTCATGCTGAATTTCAGAGATTGGATGAATTCATTTGCATGTTTAAATGTATTTACTTGAATTTCTGGGTGAAATTATATGGAACAGTTAAAAGCTAAATTGGATTTAGGCACACCCGAGCTCAAATTCCAGCTCTGCACCGACCGGCTGGGCTCCGGGAACTCACTTCGCTTTCACCGCTGCCGCAGGCCGGTTCGGGCGCCCTCAGCCCCAGGCCCACAGCGCCCTGCCTTGGAAAGCGTCTTCCATTCACTCCAAGGTGCTTAAAGTCCTGCCACATTTTCCCATGTGTCCAGACAGAAGGGGTAAACTTTCCAATCCACAATTTCAATACAGTAACATTCACTATGAATTCTTGATATGGGCCAGGTAGTATGTGGCTTTACTTAAAGCACAATCTTGTGAATGGGCATTGCTCTTATGGGCTCCGTTTTACGAACGAGGAGCAGGGAACGGTTAAGAGCCCATACTCTTGAACCAAACCACCTCGGTCTGAAGCCTGGCTCCTCCAGAGACGAGCTGGCTAAGCTGAAGCAAGTTCATTAACTTCTCTGTGCTTTAGCCTCCTTATGTACAAAATAGAGCATAAAGGTAACTACCTCATAGGCCTGCCTAGGACAATGCTTGCCACATAAGAAGTATTCAATAAAGTTGTGTCTCCTGCATGTCACATTCTTCCCACTTAGGACAGAAACTATAATGGGTTTTTAATGGTAAGCGCCCCTGATAAATGAGCAGCTCACAAATTATGAAGTCTACCGTTTCCATGAATGAATCAGAACACACAAAGGAAAGCTATAACAAATTATATAAAGACCGTAATACCTGACACATTATTAACACTGTTAAACACACACACACACACACTCACACACACACTCTCTCTCTCTGTGTGTCATTCACTCAGATGAGAAAGGTACAAGGACGACTGGGAAATGTTCAGAGTTCTGAACAATTCACTGTTAGATGATTTTTTTACATCGCTCCCTTTTAAGCCAGTGTCCATGAAGCCGGCTTAGGAAGCTTATTTTAAAAATGCAGATTCTAGGATTCCCCTAAGATTCTGGGGTTGCAAATCACAAACAGCACCCAGTCCCTGGACTTTAAACAGTATCCCAAGTGTGAGTACTGTTCAAAATGTAGTATTTCCCTGTACTCACTATGAATTCTAACCCTTAGGACATGAAATTTAAATATTATGCCCTCAATGAAAAGAAGCAGAATATTCTTGTAAAAAGACTTCCTAAACTGTAAACAATTGTAATATTTAGAGATGTGCATGTCAGGGAAAAATTACTGACTTCCAGACCCTGTTCACAGGCTGCAGCAATCCTTTTCCCATGCCTCATGAAAGGCCACCTGCAACACAGATCTTTCATTTGATTTCGGGAAAGAAAAATAGCTTTCATTTGACAAACTGAAAAATGATAACCACAGGGGGAAAGCATCCAATATCTATAAAAAAAGACACTCTGATGCGTCCTCTGTAGGCAATAATACTGTTCACCATAAAGAAGGATTCACACAGAAAAGTAAAATAACAAACTCATACTACCGTATTTTGCCGTGTATAACATGCACTTTTTCGCCCAAATATTTGAGGGCAAGTAAGGATGCACATTATACATGGGTAGTACTAATTCTGTATCCATATAAATGTTTTTAATTCTTTTATTTAGGCTTATGTGTTAAGTGTAACTCTAGAAAGCAATAATGATATCTATATGCAAAATAATACCCTGGAATATGATAATACAAAATACAGGTGTCTAAATATAAATAAGTGAATAATGAAATTAAATTAAAATGAAAGGTTTTTTCCCCTGAAAGTCTGGACCCAAAACATGGGTGCACATCACACACGGGAGCGCATCACACACGGGAGTGCACCGCACACGGAAGCGCACCACACACGGGAGCACATCACACACAGCGAAACACACGCACCACAGGCCCCAGCCGGCGTGCGCGCACTGCGCCGCGCGAAGGAGACAAGGTCAAACACCTGATCTTAGAGTTGCAGGTCATCTCGTTCTCAGGGTAGTGAATGTCCACCGCATCCTGGATGACCGTGCCGTACTCGTACACTTTGATCTTCTTCGTAACCCCGGCAATGGCGAAATAGTCACAATCCCGGTCGAACTCAATGCTAAGGAGAGAAGCGTACACTTGGTCAGGACTACTTACCTGGCCTTGGGACGTTTACAGTGGCAACTTCTCAGAATTTGTTTTTTTCTCCTTCTGAAGGGATTCTGTTTGCAGGGATAAGAGACTGACTAGAACGGCCCTCAAACTGTGCTGGGCTGGGCCCCGTGTGCAGGTTAGGTCGCCACCCGGGCGCGGCAAACGATGAGTGGTGGCAAGAGGTACGCAGCTGCACATCCTGCGTACAGATGGTTACTTTGTCCCTGGAAACTTGTTTTTCATTTCAGGTTCAGCAACCATAAAGGAAAGATTTAATGATTTGCAATATTAAAAACAAGTGAAAAGAGAGTTACCAATGAATCTTTTTCATAAATTCCAGCTATGTTCCCCTTCCTACTGTTTTGTGGGGATAACAGCATTTCACCGTATTTAATATCACTTTTATAAATAAATTGGTATTCAAAAGAAATTACTGGAGCAGCTGGTGGCAGAGGGGGGGAGGTGAAAAGGATAAAATGCACATGAAATGGAATCATTAAATTATCGTTACATTTCCCCAATCCACTCCTAACCTCCCAAATGTGGCCTCAGACTTACTGACCCCTAACACAGGGTCCTTATACCATAAACAAGGGAAAAACACAAAATCTCGCTTTTATTAGTTACTTAGGAATGCACCCCTCTGACCTTTTATACGAGTTCTTAAATAAGCTACTTCAAAGCAAAGTACACCTTATTCACTTGCACAGAACTTAATTCATATCCTCAACAAAGTTGTTATATAACCAGCAAGAAACCTAAGCGACCTAAAGGAATTAAAAATAAAATAAATCATCGCATACATTATTTGTCAATGAGTTCAGCTTAGCCACAAGGCTAGAGAATACGTGAGAATTCCCACTGATCTGTAACTAATCGTGGAATAACAGCTAAAATTCACCGACTATCTGTAACCACTGTATGTATTAACTCATTTAGTTCTCATAATAATCCCGTGAGACACGTATTATTTTTATCCACCTTTCACACAAGGGAAACCTGAGGACTGGAGGTGAAGTAATTTGTCCCAAGTCAGCCAGCGTGCCAGGGGCCGGGACGGCACGCTGGCTGCACGCTGCACACACACCAAACGTTCGCAACGGCACGCGACACCTGCAGGGCACACTCCAGGGGCCGCCTGTGGCCGTCTCTCACAGAGCAGGCGATGGCCAGTGAGCCACGCAGTAGGCAGCTCTGTGGGGCTGATGATGAATAAGGAACGTAGGTACACATTAAAAATAGTTCCCATAAAAACACGGTGAGATGAGAACTTTTCATTAGTTTTAAATCCTTCCTATTTATAAAAATTTTAAAGGAATGTCATTAAGTGTCATTGGTTATAGAACAATTCAGCACATGTTCCCTCCGATACCATACGGCCGTGCAGCAGTACAGCAGATTTATCAGTACAGCCACCTCGGCTGAACGGCCATCTCGGCGGCTGTCCCATGGATTCCAATGCAGCAGAGCTAAACCAGTGCCAGCTACTCATCTGTCCCCACGCCTTCTGTCCCTGCAACCTCCTGTCACCGGAGGAAAAAATGCTCCCGGGTCTGGGAAAGGACAGAGCCACTGGAACTGCAATCCTATTCATAACGTAGGACCTTCATGGGAGAACCAGTGGTATTGTCCCTAAATACCTTTCCTGCAAACACACACGCTAACCCATCAACAGCACCCCAAGGCTGCACTAGTGAAAGGTAACACGCCGTCACCAAACTACAGCTCTTAACACACAAAAGTTTAAACACTCACTCACCGAAACAACAGTCCAAACACACTGCAAGGAGAAAACTGACATAAATAAAAATGCTCCATGGCAAAAGGATTGATTTAATGATGTAAGTCTATTATTTCTTCTGTCACTACCTCATTACACAACTCTCTTTTTTCAACAAGGGTTATTATTTAGCTGTATTACCTCATTCTTTACTTTGATCCTAAAAAATTCACTTTTTGTTTTGACTTCGCCACCACTACTTTCTTATATTCTGATTTGTTTTGTTCTTAATATACCGGGCTATGAAGGACCTGTGTGGTATTACTTTGTAATATCCCAAGACACTGAGGCTCTTTATAGATTGGAACAATAAGATTTTAATAGAAATACTGACCAAGAAGCATAAAGAATAATATTGCTTCTAGTAAATTTTGATAAAAGGGAAAAAGGACAAACAGTTGCCTTTAAAAACTACACAAGCACTCCCACGTAACTGCGACGTGGGGTTTAAGTGCTTCCAAAGGATGAGTCCTTGGTCCCCAGTCCTGCACAGATTCACTCAGGTCTGTTCCCGAGCGCAAACATAATTAGGCTCTAGAACATATGGAATAACTCAAGTGAAAATAAGTTTTCAGAGAGCTTTTCAGATCTTATCCAAAATAGACGATCTTTTATTTCCCAAAACAATATTTCAGCTGCTTTAATTATAAAATGTAAACAAAAATGATAAACAGTAACCAGCTTGCCTGAAACAGAAACAAAACGAAAGCTAAACAAATTAACTAAAATCATACCTGCTTCTGCAGTTAAGTTCAAGACAACTGTAAGAAATCTTGCTCGTTGGGTGGTGGGGGGCAAAGGAAGAAAATGGGGGACATCTGTAGCAGTGTCGACAATGAAAAAAATCTTGCTTGTTACACAAAACGCATGTCTCCCCTGTGCCCCACTGCCTTAAACCTGCTCTTCCTCCACCGCCCCCCTCTATAAGTGACACCCGTATTTTTCTTCTCAGCTGCTCAGACCGAACCCTTGGAAGATATATTCCTCTCCTCCAAGGACAAGATCCACCGTCATCAAGTTTTGCCTACCCCAATCCCTGCACATTTCTTAAATGCTCCCTCGACCGGGCCCCACTGGTCTCACCCTAGCCCACAGGCCGTCGTCACGCACTGCCAGGACAAGTTCAACACCACCTGCGCTCGGATCGCCCTACTTCCGCTCTGGGTTCTCTACATCCATTCTCCGTAACAGCAGACACAGTGAGTCCTCAGTTAACAACACTGGGTTCTTGGAAACTGCGACTTGAAACAGAACAGCATATAATGAAACCAATTTTACCACAGGCCAGTTGATACAACAAGACTTCAGTCCCTACAGCATATTTCTGGCCACAAAACCATCACCTAACTTCTAAATAAGGACCCAAAACACTTCTCATACTGAACGCTGAAATAAGTGTAGACTATACATACATTTAAGAGAGATTAATAAAAACAAGTAAGATACAAGTAATGATTTCCCAACCCACTTCTTCCGACTCAGGGTCCAGGACAGGCAGGGCCTCCCCTGGCAGCCCAGGGCACGTGGCAGGAGCCCCCCCGAACAGGACCCCCTCCCCAGTCCACCTCTGCACGTTGCTGACTGCGGGGATCTTCCTCATGTTAACCTTCAATTGCGGCTTCCGGCCATCAGTCTACTTTCCTCTCTCTTGGATAACCAGCAGGCCCGTTCTAATTCTTCTTCTACTTTGATTACGTGCAGAGTGTCATTAGGTTGAGAAACTCACTCTAATTCTAAACCTCTGTTGTAGGCATCTATTTTGTGTTCTGATCAGTGACAAACCTTCATGAGTCTACTGAAATCTAAAATGCTAACGTAACTGATTCTCTTTGTGGTAGTAAGTGAAAATGATTTAAGCTTGTGGTTTCACACCATACTACTGACAGGCCTCAGCCTATGCAAGGGCAAAGGGAAATACACAGGAAAAACAAAAGAAACTGAGATGAGAAAAGGGAAGTTTCAGGGTGGAGGCTATAGGAGAGTGAAAAGATGGAGCATCTTCCAAAGCTTAAGCTCGACTGTGTTCGACCTTTAGCCTGTAGCTTCAATTGTCCTGAGAGTAGGAGTCTCAACACTTTCTGCCAGTCTTGGACTTCTCAATGAACATTAAGTTTGTGAGCAGTCTATTTCTCTGTTACGTGTCACTGGTGATTTACAACTGTACACGGATACTTTCTTGAAAGAAATACCCATCAGCCAGCAGCTGTGTAACAGCAGATCCAGGACCCTCCTGCTCCAGACTCCCCTGAAGCAGCAAGAGTTTTCCATTCATTCAATAGCTATTTACCACTGCGCACCTACTGTGTGCCGGACACGGGAAGCAGCAGGGAGGGAGGCAGATAAGACCCTTTCCCGGGTGAGGCTTCAAGTCTGGAGCAGTGTTTTAAATGACCGCTTTAAAGGACTGGCCCTGGGCGCAATCCTGAGAGGAAAGTCTGTACTCCTGGCCCTCATGCCGCCCACTAACCCCGGACGGCCCAGTAACGGAAAGACCTGACAGAAAGAAACGGACGCTAGCGATCCTAAGAAGCATACTTATTCCTTGGAAAACAAGTCAATAATTACCTGGGGAGCTGTTTTTAAGTACGAATAAAAACCCATACTCACAAGATTCTGTAATAAAAAATGTATTAGAAGTTCCCCTAAATCTAGATCGGCAGTGCCTGTCATTATAAACTTAAAGTTAATGAAGAAAATGCTCCTTTATAACTGTCTACTATAAAAAAAAGTCTAATTTAAATATTTTCAAACTATGGCAAAAAATGGCATCTGAATACTATAGTATCTACATTAAATTAAACCCCTCCCCCAAAATGTTCATTAGTAAAGCCAAGTCAGACAAGATGGTAGTAACAGGGGTTCAATGTATCAGAAACTCAGAAGAACTAGTTCTTTTTCTTCTTCTGGGTGTCTCACAAGTGAGCGTTTTCCGAAACTTCTCTGGAGGCTTTAACAGATCCGGAAGGGGCTCACAGAACTAACTGGAGAGCCAGCGTACCGCAGTCTGAGCCTTAGCTCTGCCCTTTCCTAGCGCTGTGTCACCCTTAGACGAGTCAGAAAACCTCTCCTTCCCTGGACTGCTCATGTGCAGAATGACATGAACACCGATGCTGTACTCCACAGGGTTTACACAAAGGTTAGATGAGTCAGCGAGACACTTGCATGCCATGTAAAACACAGCGGCGTCTCAAAAACAGCAGTCAAACATCGCATCGACCAGTGCAGCGCCTGATCTGGCAGCAGTGCATGCCACAGTATGTAAGCATTTTCTTCTTGTGATTTTACTAATGTCTGATGTAATTCTACTGCAAAAATTTGGGAAAACATAAGCAAAACTGTTAAAATGTCTACACTATATATAGAGTGTATATTAATATTGAACATAATCTTGGTAAGTGAAATTCAATCCAAGAATTCAAGAAACAGCCATTGCTACTAAGTGTTCAAAGCTTAAACTGTGCTCTAAAACCATCCCTCTCTGGTGGCCACCGAACACCTAATTTAAGACAACGTGCAGAAACGGTACTGCTGCTGTGGGAGAGGAGCTCTCCGTGAAGTCTGTCACTGTAAGGTCGGTAGAAGCACTAACCCCACACCTGCCTGTCGTCTGATCAGCTGGGACGCCGTCCCAGCAAACAAGTGCTGCCGCCTGGTGGACGTGCGGTGTTAGGTAACCCAAAATCACCCATAAGAAAAAGAAGAAAAACTTTCATTTTTAAAAGCAGTTTCTGGTTCAGCGTTTTCTTTCAGTGAGATTCTCAAGGCAATTAATGAACAAGGGTAGCTATATTTCTTGCAATTTTACAGTAAGAATAATTCCTTTTACAATATTATGAATACACCAAATTCAACAGTTGTCATCTCTGACGCGTCTCATCCCTCATCCCCTGCAAAATTCTTCGTTAAATGTCCTGTTTTGAAAAGAATTAAACAGCTTTAAAATAAACTTATTACCAATGATGTGTTTGTGAGAAATCAGGAAAAGCAAAAAAACCACTGGTCTGTGAAAGTTTCTAAGTCCCTTCGACTGTCTGAACGCCATTTTCCTTTGGTGCCACCCACTAGTCTTCACCTGCCCTAAGCAGCTCCGAATACTGAAATCTTTCTTTGAGAAACGTCATTAAAAATGCTGCCCGATCACACTCATACGAGAAGCCCGGGGCAGTCAGAGTCAGACCCACAGAAAGCAGAAGGGCGGCTGCCAGCGCCAGTGGGCGGGGCAACGAGGAGCTGCCATTCAGACAGTCCCAACTTCCACTTTCACGGGTCAGCCACTGGGGACTGACCACGTGGGGGGCTTGCTGGGGGGTGCTGACAGCAGTGACAGCAGCACGACATTAGGGTTTATTTTAATACCACTCAATGGTAACTTGTTGAGATAGTAAATTTTACATTATGTGCATTTTACCACAATAAAAAAATTTTGGAGGAAAAAACAGATACCACATCAATACCTGTGGCATACAGCTAATGCAGCACTTGGAAGAAAATGTGTAACGTAACTTATCAACAAGAGAGATGAAAGAATTCAACTCGGTTTGAATCCTAAGAAACTAAAAATATAAGGGCAAATTAAACCTAAAGAAAGCAGGAAAGAAAAAAAGGAAATGAAGTTAAGAATAGAAATCAGTGGAACAGAGAACAGAGAAATACGGAGTACCAACAAACGGAGAGCCGATTCCTCAAGAAGACAATAAAACCGATAAACTTCTAAGGGGGTGGGGGGACACATTTCTGATACCAGGGAGGAGAAAGGGGACAACATTACAGAATTTAAAGACATTAAAAGGATAATCGAGGAATATTATAAACACTTACATGCAAATAAATACCCTAAGTGAAATGAACAAATTCCTTGAAAGACAGATGAAGAATAATGCTCAATCAAGAAGAAATGAACACCCGGTTGGCCCTCCATATATTAAAAACTGAATCTGTGTTTAAAAACCCTCCCTCAGAGAACGCTCACGGCTGAGAGTGCTTCGTTAGAGAATTTGACAAGATACAAGGAAAAAATCATACCAATTACTTACCTATGTGTCCAGAAAACTGAAGGGGAATAAGCACTTATTAGGAGAGCAAACCTGGTCACCAAGGCAAAGACATCGCAAGACCACGGCCGTGACCGCACCAGGTGGCTGCTACTCACCGCCCCATTCCAGAGGCGAAGAGGCTGAGGGCTGGAGAGGCTCAAAACTGGCCTCAGGCCTCAGAACTGAAAACTGGCGGGCAACCTGGCTTCAGACCACGGGCGCTTAGCCGTGCGTAACTGCTGCTCGAATTCCACCGAGCCCCAGATACACCTGCGAAAGGAAGCAGTCAGGAGGCTGCCCGGGACTCACCTGGAGACGATGCTGGAGCCGTTATACAGATCACTGGCGTACGACAGGGTGGCCAACGGGCGCACCGAGTTATACCGAGTGAACTTGGACAAGCATTCCTGGAAGTCGTCCAGCTGGCTTGCCGTCCGGCTGTCATCTGCGTGAAGAAAACAAAGTGGAATCAGTGACGGCACCCTCGAAGAGCAATGTCCGAAGATTAAGAGCAATCTTCTAAATAAAAACAATTTTTAAACAGTATTTGTAAAAGACTTACATGCTCAAATTAATCAGCTAATCTTTCAACTTTAATAAAAATTTCTTAGTGATTCTTGGAGAGACACTGGCTCAACACCAACGTCAATGTACCATCGATTCTCTTCTTAAAAATAATTTCTTGTAAAAACAAAAAAAGGACCCCTCATCAAGAAAGGCTCACTCATTTGCAGTGACACACGAGCCCAATACTGGGGACGGTGGGGGGAGCGGGGCAGGCGCCCACCAGGGTGTGCGCTCGCCGAAGGAACCTGTTTATCTCAGGGACGCGGCCCCACGCCCGGGTCCATTTGCTCTCGGAACACAACTCATGCTAACGGGACTCAGACAGAAGTAACTGGTTACGTCTGCAAAGGCGAGGTGTTTATTCACATACTGCTGTCGAGTCTTTCAAACCCACTTACAGGGAGAGAGGAGAAAGCTGCCGTGTCTAAATTATTCACTCCCAGACACACGCAGCTCCCAGCTCCGAGCCTGCTCGGTCACACTCACAGGTCTGGGAGAAGGCGGAGAACGGCGGCTCCACCCGCCAGGAGATGCGCACGCACGTGGACTAAAGTCCCCTTCAGCAAACTATTCATAACTCAGTGTGCGGAATTTAAATCACTACATCAACTGATGAAGGACCTGAGAATAAAGCTAATGTAGTCTCCAATCCCGAAAAGGCCTATAGTGAGAGCATGAATTAAAATAAAAAATCACTGTTTTACAAACTGCTCAAAGTTTGGACTTTATTTTTCCTTCCCAAAATGTGAAAAGTAAAAACCACACAATTACTCGAGCTGGCTTCCTAGACTCAAACCTGAAGGAAGCCTGTTACAGTACTGTGTTTTCACACTTTCTTCCTTACTCTAAGCTCACACAGTCACATACCCACACACACCTTGTCCAAGGTGACCTTCATGATCTCCCTTCCTGAATGGCCCCTGAAGGTAACAGTAGGCACAATGAAATCAATATATATATGAGAACCATTAAGTGAAGAGTTCCTATACTAGATAATACACAGAAAAGTATTTCTTTTATCTGGAGATGTTAGATTACTTTGAAGATAACTGTTGACATAAAGAACTTTATTATACAGGGTAGGCAAAGTAGGTTTACAGTTGTTCGTGTGGAAAATAACACAATAATTAATAAATAACACAAAATAAACTCTGTGTTTCGCATACTCACACCTGTAACCCTGTTTCTGCCCCACCCTAGAATGGAATGCGATTACTTGAGGAAACTGAGCTTCAGTCTCTGATGTTTTACCCTTTAAAGATTTAAGCACTAACTTCGCAAATTCATTAACAACCTCCATTTAAAAAACCGAGTTTGCAGTGTTTCTATTCTAAAAACAGCAGAAGGAACAAATCAGCACTCAATACTGTAGTACTGAGATAAAGCTCCTTGTGCATGGCTGCACAAAAATTATTCTCAGGAAACTCAACAAATTATGAATAAAACATGGGTTAATGCAAAAACAATCAAATGTACTACAAAGTGGCTTGGGCATAACAGTTAACTGGTTCTCAAAAAAATCAATTATCACAAAGTGGCCTGGATGTAATAGTTATTGGTTCTTTTATATATAATCCTATTATTGTGAGCCCTGTAATGTAATAAATACTTACTGAAAAGGCAGTTACTTTAGATACTCATTTAAAATCATTTTTAACGCTAATAATCTATTCTTTTAAATTGTGACATCAACCCCTAAGTACATGAAATTCACAAACATTCAAGAATGCCTATCTGTTGAAGACCATGATCTTTTCTTAGAATCTTCTGGCCACCATACATACAAGCCGCTCATTACACTGACACCTACTTTCAACGTAAGTTATAAAGAAAGGACTAAAAATAGTTATTTTAGTATCTGAAAGTATAGGAATTAGATTCACTTATCTGGTTATAAAAAGGTAGGACTGTATTTGCTCGCTCGGCTTATGGTCAACGTCCCTTCATATCTGTTGGCACAACACCTCTCCTATCCTAACTACAAGTTAGTTTCTAAAAGTGTATCTAGTTGTCTTTTTTCTCCTCTGATATTTTATAATTTACCTCTTCTTTCAATTACAATTGAGAGCCAAGGCATTCATTTCTTAATCTGCATCTTTCATGTTCACAGCTGAAAACAAAAATCAGGGAAGGGAGGTGTGGGGTGGATTCTCATTTGAAAACACACAAAAGAACCACCAGACTTCCAGGCATCCTAGAAGGAAGTCCATACTCAGCAACATGGAGTGCAGTCGACTGCACATGTGATGAGCGATGCCTGAGATTCCTAGGAACTAAGGACAGCACGTATTAAGTACAATACAGCCATGTCCACAAATATAAAAATCTAATCTTCCTCCTGGTCTTATCGTTCTACCTTCCTGTAAAACTACATCCCCAAATAAACTGTATTTTTTTGTGATTACCTTTACTATCCCATAGCATGTCTTTAAAAAATTTTTCTTTTTTAAGATTTTTTTTATTTTTAGAGAGAGGGAGAGAAACGCCGATGGGCGACCTCTCGCACACGCCCCGGCCAGGGGCTGGGCCCGCAACGCTGCGCGCCTGTGCCCTGACCAGTTCTCACACCTTTTCATCCTTAGCACAGAAGGCAGTACTTAGAATTTAACATAGGTTGGATAACAGGAGGCAACTGAATGGAACTTATTTTTGCTACTTGGAACATATTCAGGGCAGACATTTTTAAAACTTTATATGGTTCACTGTACAAAGATGAAGAATTCCAAACACAGAAGGAGAACAAAAGCAGCACGGGAAGGCAATGTTCTTTGAGATCTCTAAGAACCTCACAGTGCTCTGGGAGACTATGTCGAAAATACACACTTTTGCTTATAAACAGCACTTTCCATGAATCAGCACAGAAAGCTAGAGATGGACCTGAAATATAAATGCGAGATATTTTAAGAACTCCCGAATGTGTACCTGAGATACGAGACATCCTTGTAGAAAAGTAACATTGCTCTAAGTCTTCAAAATGAGCAGTGAGTCGTTTCCGTCTCGAAGCTAATGTGCTGTTATACCACGGCTGTTTCTTTGTCTAAGGTGATTAACAAGAAAAGACACTTATCACTGAGAAAAACACGTAACTCTTTTTCTGCACATAGTAACAAAAAGTTCATCATATTAAAATTACAAATGGTAAAACCCATAGTTCTTACAAGTTTTCCAATTTTTGAGTTAAAGTAAAAATAGCCTCTTAAGGCCAGTTTTATAAAACTAAGATGGGAAGCTTCTTTCAATTCTCCAAATTAAATAAAGATAAAATCCATTGTAACTGCCATTCTAAAATTTACAATTTTAAGAATTTTAACATGCAGAAATTGTTAGAAAACAATTATCAAAATAAAGCTATTTTCATTATCTCTATAACTGTACCCTTGTATCCTTCGAACAACAGAACAGTGCTTGACTATAGAATATGTATTTAAGTTAAAATTAAATAGTAGGTTAAGGGGCAGTAATATGCATGCACTAAATAGTTTGACATATACAATATAAGTTTGAGATGCAAAGGTCCACTTATATGCAGATTTTTCAATAAATACTATAAATGTATTTTTTCTTCCTTATGATTTTAAGAACATTTTATTTTCTCTACTTACTTTATTGTAAGAATATATATAGTATATAATAGCATGTATCATATTTTGCTATGTGTAATGCAGTTTTTTGTCCAAATTTTTGAGGGAAAAATAAGGATGCACATTATACATGGGTAGTATTAATTCTGTATCTATGTAAGTGTTTTTAACTCTTTTATTTAGGCTTATTGTTAAAGTGTAACTCTAGAAAGCAATAACAATATCCATATGCAAAATACCCTGGAATAAGATATTAGTTTTATTAAAAAATGGAATTAAAAAATTAAAATGAGGTATTTTCCTGAAAGTGTGGGCCAAAAACACAGGTGCGCATTACACATGGGAGCGCATTACACACAGCAAAATACAGTAATACACATGACATACAAAATGTGTGGTCCCCAGTGTTGTTCAAGGGCCAAAGGGATATATTACCTACACCAGGCTAATTCAAAAGACAAAACAATTCTTCTACAGATGGTCACTAACTATTATGCCTGAGGCACATAAACAGATGCAGAGATAAAATACAGAATAAGACCCTGAGAGATGGTACAAGCTCACTGATAACTATGCCACAATTGCAAATGTATTAAGAAAGAAATATTAAGGCATTATTATGAACACAACACTAAAGTGAACTCCTGCTAAAACTAGATGACAGATAACAGCCACATTTTAAAGCAGTGCTTGAATCCCAACTCAGAAAGACGATTTCCAAGATACGACAGATGAACAACCAACCGGGAAGATGAACTCGGAGAGGGGACAGCAAACAAGACTCCGGGGGCAGGCGGCAGAAAGAGGAGGACACCTACTTGGGGTCAAACACCTACACAAGGACAAGAACCGGAACTGAGATTTGGAGGCCTCTGAAAAGAGAATTTGTGAACTGGTTATAGAAGGAATTACCTAGAATGAAAGATAAAAGTCAAGAATATAGAAAATCTGAAAGAGAGGATAAGAGATGAAAAAAATAGTAAGATTTAAATACTCAAGAGGCTCAGAAAAAGAGTAACAGACCGAAGAAGAAATATTTAAAGAAGTGATGCTGAAAATTTTTCAGAACTGAATACACACACAGAAATTCTACTGAAGATCGTAACCCAGAAGCAACACACAAGGAACAAATTGTTAGTATCCTGAATACATTTTTTAAAGACTCCTACAAGTAAATAAGAAAAAAAGACATGATGAAAGGCATTTCACAAAAGATAAAACATGAACGGCCATAAGAAAAGATGTGACCTTACAGTGACAGGAAAATGCAAAATAAAACTTCAGCAAAGTTCTACTTACCACCCACTAAAGTGGCAACTGTTTGGAAATTCAACAGTACTAATTACTAATGAGAATGTGGAGAAACTGGAACTCATATACACCTGCAGTGGGAATTTTAAATTAATAAAAAGACTTTGAAAACCAAGTGATATTATTTCAAAATGCAAAAATATTGATGCGTATACCAAATAACCCTCACTTCCTCTCATAGGTACAAAATCTAAAGAAACTCTTGCACCTGTGCATCAGGAGACATGTGCAAGGATGCTCTTAATAGCAAAAACAAAAACCAAGGAAATATATCGAATGTATGTAAACTGGACAACTGATAAATTGTGGTACAGTAACAAAATGGAATACTACACATAGTGAAGAGGAATCAACTACAGCCACAGACACCAGAATGAATCTTTAAAAACACAAGTCTCAAAAAATGATATACTATGGTATCGTTTTTATAAAATCTAAACACAGCCAAACCAAATAACTAAACAAAGCAATTATATACTTTTTGTGCATATAATAAAAAGTTCATCACATTAGAATTACACATACAAAAACTGTATGATAGAAAACATTTTCTTTTCATGATGATAAAAGTACATTACCACACAAATTGAATACATAAATAGACATGTATTTTAAAATGCCTCATTTTTTTTCCTTTTACTATAAAGGATAATATTGGGTTAATCTGTAAAATTTGAGTAAGGTATAGGCATTATATAATAGCACTATAAAAATGTTAACTTCTTGAACTTTAAAATTATATTGTGATTATGTAAGACAGAACAGAACAGAACAGAACTCCAGAAAAAGAACTAAGTGAAATGGAGATAATCAATGTACCAGATGCAGAGTTCAAAACACTGGCTATCAGGATGCTCCAGGAACTCACTGGGTACTGCAGCAGCACAAAGAAGACCCAGGAAGAAACGAAGGTCACAGTAAGTGAAACAAAGGAAAATGCACAGAGACCTAACAGAGGGGAGGATGAAGCTGAGAATCAAGTCAGCGGTTTGGAGCACAAGGAAAGGGAACACATTCAACCAGAACAGCAGGAAGAAAAAATTCAAAAGAACAAGGACAGGCTTAGGAACCTCTGGGACAACTTTAAACTTACCAACGTCTGAATCATAGGGGTGCCAGGAGGAGAAGAGAGAGAGCAAGAGATTGAAAACTTACTTGAAACAATCATGAAAGAAAACTTCCTCAATTTGGCGAAGGAAATAGACATGCAAGTCCAGAAAGCACAGAGTCTCCCAAACAAGCCGGACCCAGGGAGGACCACACCAAGACCCATCATAATTAAAATGCCAAAGGTTAAAGATAGAGAATCTTAAAAGCAGCAAAAGAAAAGCAGATAGTTACCTACAAAGGAGTTCCTATAAGACTGTCAGCTGATTTCTCAGAAAACAAACAAACAAACAAAAAACCCAACCCCCCACACACAAAAACAACTTTGCAGGCTAGAAAGGACTGGCAAGAAGTATTCAAAGTGACAGAAAGCAAGGACCAACAATTTCAGATGACTCTCTGCAGCAAAGCTATCATTTAGCATTGAGCAGCAGATGAGGTGCCTCCCAGACGAGATAAAACTACAGGAGTTAGTTCATCATCACCAGGCCATTATTATATGAAATGCTAAAGGGAAGTATATAAGAAAAAGAAGATCAAAATGAACATTAAAATGGCAAAAAAGTAAACTTGAATTTTAAAATTATACTGTGATTATATAAGACAATATCCTTGATTTGAAGGAAATGCACACTGAAGCACTTAGAGGCAAAGAACATTCTGTCTGTACCTTCGTCAAACAAACCAGACAAAAACCGATACATGTAAAAGAGAGAAAGAGTGAGAAGGATGAAGCAAATGTGATGAAACGTTAGCATTTGGACAACCTGAATAAAGAATATAAAGGAATTCTTTTTATCACTCCTCTAACTTTGCTCAAAATCTGAAATTATTTCAATACAGAAACTTCTTTCAAAAAGGTCCAGCCTCAGAGTTAGATTTGACAAATGTCAGCATCCCCCGAATCAGAGATGAACAGAGCAGAGTCAAAATAATCTTACAATTAATTAGAAGGTGAAGCTAGAGTTTATTTCACTCAAACCTGTAGTTTACTCTCTGCAGAGAAACATAAGGATGAGTGATCCATCGACAGATTACAATGATCTCACCCCTGAAACAGTACCCTGACTGTACATAATTCCCTCCGACAGTATTTCCCTCCTCTCCACACCTGAGAGGACTTTCATCAGGATGTTCAAAAAAATCTTCAGCGCATCATTAATGAGCATATGAATAGCTGGTTGTGCGTCAGAGCCACTCAAGCCTAATCAGTGCCGCCGCATCCAGAACGCAGCCTGCCTGCCTGCATGGCACAGTAAACCGACCTCTGGTTTACGGCTCAGATGGTTACATTCAGGGTACCACTAACACGTGCTGTTAACTGTGTCATTTACCTGAGAACTGCCACTGAAACCTGGAGGCTGGCTGTATTCTGTGGAATCAATAATACTACTGTAAAATGAAGAGAAAAAACATGTGATTTCAGGTGTTTACATTATTCTAGCAACAGAAAAAGTAAAACTAATATATATAAATCCAATACTTCAATTTCTAAGCAAAGATAATATTTACTGCTAATAATTAGACATCAAATGAATGCATAACCCTTAAACAAAATAAATCAGCAAGTATTTCAACAATTTCCTCCTACACCCCACCGTGTGAAGCAGGTACACCATGAGAGAATGTCCACAGAGAACAGACCCTGGGACAGGGGTGGATGCAGGTGTGTGTGACTCGGCGGGCTGGCCGGCGGGCGGGCGGTTCGCCCCGCGGCAGGGAGAGCGGTGGGGAGAGCACGCGCATGCCGTCAGAGGGGACCACGGTCAGCAGAGGCTGCCGCGCACTGAGGCGCCGCCGCGTGCCCTCGGACAAGCACCTCCAAACCATTCCGGGTCCCACCTGCCGAGTGAGGCGAGTGGGGGCGAGCTTGTCTCTGGAACATCTCGAGTCCCTTCCAGATCCAACATGGGATGCCAATCATCTCACATGAGAGAAAACTATCAAAAGAATAAAGGGTAAAATACCAATCATCTTTCCTTCAGAATCTAACACCTAGATACCAGGTGTCGGCTCTGGTCAAACATAGCTTGCTTTCTCTGTTGGTTCTTCACATGGGGTTACATGGTCTGTGCACTCTCCTGCTCAACCCTGGACAAACCTCCAGAAGTCCGGACTCTTCTTCTTCTTCCTGTTAGTTCTGCCCTACCATTTCTTCCTTGCCACTTCATTACTCTTATCAATGTCCCATCTTCATAAACAAAACACTTATTTAAGTCTATGAAGAATATTAACACCTGAAAATGGCATCATAAATGTATCACCCATGATAAACCAACGGCTATTTACATTTTCCACTGTAAAAATGTTTATTCTTGGCTGCCCTAATAGATTTGAGCAATTGAGGGCACCAGTAAAATGGCTCTCCCTACACGAATCCATATGACAATTACTTTACTTCGGCACTCAAGCATCCTCAAGGGCTGTAACGTGAGAGGCACTCGTAAGAGCTCAGCGTGGGTCTGAATTTCATCCCGTAGTGGCTAAACGACTCTGGGCAAGTTACTAATGTTAATTGGCCTCTAGTTTCTCCATCTGTTAAATGAGGAAAGCACTTCAGAGAGGCGTGAGACTTACATAAGTGTATTAAGTTCTCAGTAAAATGCCAAAGATGGTAAAAACTCAAGAAATTTTACCCTCTACTAGTAAAACTGGTCAGTAGCATTCAGCCTCACATTTCCGAAACCGCGACAAAGCCGAGGAAACCGTCCTTGCGGCGGTCTCTTCGACAGGCAGCACACGTGACGGAGCTCCAGGCCTTGTGCTCGTCACTGTCCCTGCGGCGCGGCTCGATTCTACGGGAAAGAGCCTTCCCCGCACTCACAGTGGGCATGAGAGGGTTAGCACCATCTTCTGGTGGGTTCTTCGGAGGGAAGGTAAGCAACCCCCAGCTCGCCTGCACAGAGCCGAGCTCTGGCATGACGAGATCACGTGCTCGTTCCAGTGCACCGCATCCAGAGACGGACAGGGTTAAAGATGGGGAGGGGCCGTGCATCAACAAATCTCTCTGTTGCTTTCACTAGTGAAACCCAATCCCCTAGCATTTGTACACACATCAGTAAAAATTACGTAGCTGCATATTTAGAGGTTGACAGAATGGAGCAATTTCTAGATATGATTTTTATGGCATTATAATTCAGATTTCTTTGACACAAGTCTGAACAATGATGCTGATATATTAGCGTATTAGTGTACAGAGAGATAACAACATCTCAAATACATGTTGAAGAATACCCATCAGATACACACAACAGTATGGTGATTACCGGGGGAATGAGGAGGGTCGGGGAGACCTAAGACAGTAAGCGGGGATAAATGGTGATGGAAGGAGACTTGATTTGGGGGGTGAACACACGATATACAGGTAATGTACTATAGAACTGTATGCCTGAAGCCTATATAATTTTATTAACCAATGTCACCCCCAAAACTCAATAAAAATACTCATCAATTTGTGGAAGATATTCAAATCACAAGTTCTAAATAGTGTTTTAGAATATCTGCAGAGTTTAAAATTTATTTTAGATCAGGCTTTAATTTTATTCACTAATAAAAACTTGCACTTGAGCATACAGACTGTGACGGAAGAAATCTGAGAGATAAAGCCCTCTGATTCTGCTTGTTAAATGGATGGGTGTGTGTGAGTGTGTGTGAGTGTGAGTGTGTGTGTGTGTGTGTGTGTGAGAGAAGTCACGTGATCGGAAGAGTGCATCAGAAAGCAGTGGCTGGGCTGGGCCCTCCCGACTCTGCCGCTGCGCCAACTCCCTGACTTGAAGTCAGCCACAGTCACCAGACGGCAGCAGCAACAGAACAGGAACAGCTCCCACTAACCGAGCATTTACTGTGCTCCAGGCGCTGGCCTACATAATTCACACCTCATATCTCTAATGTAGATGCTATTTTCCTTCCAATGTCTCAAGGGAGGAAACTCAGGCTGTGAGAGATAATTTATTTTGCCCAAGGTAACAAAGTTGGTGAACAGCAGAGTTAGGATTCAAACCCACACAGTTAGGGTCAGGGTCTACACTGAACCACCACGCTAGACATAATTTAAGAAAAACCATGAAAAACAGCACCCTATAAATATAAAATAGAATCATCAATTGGTTCCAGTCCATGTCAGTAAAGTTACAAAAACTCAGTAAAGACATCGAAAAGCCAACGTCAGGGCAGTAACTAAAACTGAGTTAAGGGCAGTACACTTTCATGGAGATGGAGAAAGTAAGACGACGAAGAAGCTCCCCCCGTCTGGGTGCGGACAAGCAGAAGCTTAGCTGAGAACTGCACACCGTTAACCAGAGTCATAAAGGAAATCACAGTTATGCAACCAGATGTCACACAATTCTCATGGAATTATTTGCTTTCAAAGCAAAGGTACATACTTCATAAGTAAGACTTAAGTCAATTTTTTGTGTAAGCTCTATCTACACTGAGTAGGAGGCTGAGAGAAGGCAGTCGTTCACGCTAGGTAAAAATAGCAGGTGACTGACTTTAGGTTGGGCTTGTGTTTGAAAAAGGACGACTCCTTTAAGTCATTAACAGACACAACGTTGGTTAATGATGGAGAATTTCTGAACTGTTAGCAAAAGAGGTCATTTAAGACAACATACAGAAAATAAATATAAGGTTTAATTAAGGGAATTAAATGGATCAAAAAATGCTGTGTACACATGAAATTAGACTGCTACCATGATTTGTTTTTTTTCATTAGTATAAATGAGAGAAAAATAAACTTCACATTTAATAAACCATATGGAGCTAGAGCCAAAACCTGTTCCTTACCAATATTCTGCATAAAATCATTAAACCAGTTTCCCAAAACATACTAAGCAACATGTATAACTGGAGAATAATCTGACTTATAAATTTTAGTAATGATTAATTAAAATTGAGTGTGGCTTTAATTTTTCAAACCAGTAGTTGGTCACTATTTTATCCCCATACATCCGAGGCAATAACCCTTACTGTTACAAGCAGATCAGGGCTAAACCACTTTTTTCTCAGAATAATGTTTGTTGTCACAGTTACTTAACATAGAGCTGCTTCTCTGCTACAATGATATACGCATTGTGTCCTTTAAGAACTGGAGCACTGAATTTCAAACTAAAGGTAAATCCCATTTACTAAATAATCAGAAGTTCTGTGGCCCCCCAATTTTGCAAGTAGCTCAAGAGAGAGATGCTGGAAATCAGCCTTCCTGCTGGTCTTCTCCTTCCCAGTCCCACATCCCCTTTACCATGCGGCACAGCTGTGCGACTGCATCACCCACAATCAGTGTGGCCGGTCTGTGGCCACTGAGGAAGGGCCACAGGGCAGCAGCTAACGTTTACTGAGTGCGTACTGTGTGCCGGGCAGTATTCTCGCTTCCTCACACGTACCATCGTGTTTTACCCATCAGGACCGGTATCATCACCCTCACCTTACGGAGGAGAAAACAGAGTGTGCTGAAGTTAACAGACTCGCCTACGTTCTACCTGCTGAAAGCTCTGTGGAGCTGAAACCTGAACTCAGGCAGTGTAACTCCAGAATCCGTGTGTAGGACTGCCGAAGTGACACACAATTTCTCGTCACGAAGAATCACGGCCCTGCCGTTTTCAACTGAAAGTTTCTACTCGTCTGCTTTTCGATGTTTTATTGTCAACTCTGATGACTTCCGAACCCTTTCACCTCCTGAGGCTGGACAGTAAGTGTGCGTGCACGAAGGCGCGGGCACGCACTAACAGTATGACGCTGGGCAAATCACACATCTCTGTGCCTCGATTCCTCACCATAAAACGAGAAGGATGAAAAATCCGACCACGTCGCATGTGTTCTGGGGGCTCTGTGAGCTGACACATGTAAATTACAAAACGACACCTAAGATGCAGACGCTGTTTTAATCTGACAGTTAGAGCTCTTGCAAATACATACAGCTCTCCTCTTGACGTGACTTTAACTTTCTGGCTCTCCCAAGCCTAGGAATTTGACCTGAGCCGTGTTTAAGACATTAAAGACAGACATGTGACTTTACAGAGCAGAGAGTAAAATAATTAGGTATCTTTACCCCATCCTCCCCAAATATGAAATAAGTTTAAAGACAGTTAAAAAACTTTAGTGTTGAATATCTGAGCTTTTATGAAAGAGAAAATCAGCATATCTGATTTAAGGATTTAAAAATATGTCAGTAACACATATTCTTTACCAAACCAGTGTTTACATATTTTTTAAGTATAAGCCTGCAAACCTGCATTTTAAAAAATTTGCTTTTGTTTTACCCTCACCTGAGGACATGCTTAGAGAGGGGAAGGCAGGAGAAGAGAGAGGGAGAGAAACATCTATCAGATGCCTTGTAGCCCAACCCAGAATCGAACCCACGAACTTTCAGTCTATGGGATGACACTCCAAGCAACTGAGCCACACCAGCCAGGGCCCAAGGCTGCATCTGAACCTCTAGAAACCACCTCAGACCTCATGATCAGGTTGGGAGTAGGGCTCAAAAATCTGCATTTCAAATGTAAGTCCTGATAGTACTCATGCACAATGAAACCTGGCCTACTTGCATCTCAGAATTCAGAACTGGAAGAGACTGTTAATAACTTCATCAAGCAGTGATGATTACAGTTTATAACAAGAACTTAAAGGTGTTTTCAAAAAAGTCCTGGAATGTCTACTAATCAAGTATGATTACTAAAGTTTCGGACTTAAAATTCATTTCATTATTTTAATTCTTGGGATTTAAAGTCTATTTATATCATATTTTAAGCAGAATGACTGATTTGTCAGCATAACTTTTCGCCCTCAGGCTGTGGAACTGCGATAGCAGGGTCCCAGGGTCTGTCACACCCACAGCTGTGTCCCCAGGGCCTGGAACGGGGCTTTATACATGCCTGATACACCCCCAAAACTGGCTGAATGACTAGGAATACATTCTTCATATATTATAAAGGAACTACACTGTTTCAAAAATGGTTTTCATAATATGCTACCTATCTATTACCATCAACTTACTAAGAAATTACAGATGTAAGAAGAGTATCCTCTTGAGGATAATAGAGGGTACTCTGCCAAGGAAGTTTGATTTATGCATTTTGTGTTTCTTTTTGTTTTAGTTCAAGTTAAAAATTCTGTAAGATTCTTGCATGGTCCTCCCTCACCTGTGCCATCAAGTTCAACTCCCTTGCATGGTCCGGGGTCAGAGTTACGGCAGGGATCCCCTGTACTCCCAACCATAAAACAGTCAACCACTTTCACTACTTCTCCCACACACCAGATAAACTTCTTTAAAATACAGCAAAACATCATTTACGTTCAAAAGTCCCCCATACATGTGTAGCAGAAATTTCTTAAGATATATTTGTAATCACCTAAGCTTGGGGAGAAGCTATGCACGAGACGAATCCAGGAAGTTTCTAGGCAAAAGGAACAGTGTATGTAAAGGCACCTAACACCGTGTTCTGGGAGTCTGATTCAACTCCAACACGCAGAAATAGCAGGCAGGGTGCAGGTGAGCGCGAAGGGCCATGAGGAAGAGCCGGCTCGGAGCCACTCCGCACACAGTGCAAAGCCACCGAAGGGTTTCAGCAGGAGAGGAGCATGCTCAGATCTAACTATCGGGAGGACAGCTAAAAACCACTGCCAGACCCGGTGTGATCCCGGGTCTAAACGAGGGAGCAGGAAGAGCAGCGTCAGGACTCGGCGATCACAGCTGATCCTGGTCTAGGGAAGAGGGAATCCTGAGTGTGTGCTTGGGGGGGGCGGCGTTATTTGCCTTTCTCTTTTCAGTAAAGTGCATCCTCTCATCACACACCCAGAATCTGTGGGGTACGGGGGTCAATGACCTGACTTGTAAAGAAGGTTCTCATTATAGAAATAAGTGAAACCACAAACAGGCTTTTAAACCAAACCTGCTTAAAAGAAAAACCAAAACATTACAGTGAGGAATAAAAACAAAAACTGTCTGGTATTCAAATAATATAGCTAACAGTTATGAGGGAAAGTTATTGTAATTGCAACTATATACTATTTCCTAGAAGTAAAGGGAAGTCAAATACTGATAGTTTAACATGACATTCCTCCCAGCCTGCTAAAGTTCACACCCCAAACTTAAGGATCCTTTTCCAAGAGTACTTAAGGGCAACACCATTTTTCCCAAGTGTCTCTCTCAAACTTTGATGAGTATTCAAATTACTTATTTTAATAAAATGTCAAAACACTCTTTTGAAGGAAATATCATGTTTGCCTATTTCCCTTCCTTCCACTATTCACCAGTCTGCCAGAATCTCATTTGACGACAGCCTCGTACACTATTTTAGAAAATCTCCCACTATGGTTTCACCGATTTCACGAAACCCTGTATCCTTTACAAGACGTGTGACTGTATTTTACAATGCCACCAATTCTCGCCTTGCCCACCGATGAAATCCCAGCCCAAGCCTCCTGTCCCCGCTCTGGACTGCTGCAGTGCCCCCTCACTCTCCTCCAGCTTCCGATGGCAGGGCAGCAGCTGAAGACGACACAGCTCTTCCGTATCCGCCACATGGAAACCCCAGCAAGTATTTTAAAACTTAAGTCACATCCTGCTCAAAACTCTCCCATGACTTTCAGTCATATCTGCACTTCACTCATGTGTCGTCTTACATGGCAGCTCCCTGGAGAAGCCTGCCGAACCAAACAAAAGCAGAATTCTCCGCAAACCCCGAGTATGCCTACAACGGCCTCCTAAGGTACCACTTCCATGTTACCTACTACTGCACTGCAAATGTGCTTATGCAGCGTCTTCCCGGACCTCCACACACACGCACCACCCCCAAAGGTAAATGTCATCAGGACAGCGGTTTTGCCAACCAGACTGCACATCTGGAACAGTGTCAAGCACGTCAGAGGCACTGAATAAACAGATCTAGTTATATCAATATGATACTATCGTGTCACATGATAATAAAAACCATCAGTAAGAGACGGAGTCGCAGGGGCCTGGGCACCACAGATATAAAGGCATGCCACTGTTAGAGAGGGACATGACGATCGGGACTGTCGGTGTATTAGTGAATATGTTGTGACATGACCACCTTTGCTTGCCCGCATGCTCTCACATAATAAACATTCCATGGACAAGGATCCCATGTATATTAGAAAGTAAATGCTAAGCTTAAAAATAACAAATACCAGAGACTGAGTCATGCCAAAGTGTTTTAAATAAAGTTGAGGCTGGAGAAAAACAAGCTGAATTACAGGGCTGCAGTGACTGCAGAATCGACTAGGACTCACAGGGATCTCTGCACGATGACGAACAGGGAAACAGCAAGCATCCCAGGACAGCTCTGTACCCAGTGCATCGCGTGGGCCCAAACCAGGCCCACAGCGGCTCTCCTGAACCGACAGGTCCTGCGGGCTGGCACACACTCTCATACTGGCATCAGACTGCCTGGACTATTTGTTTAAAAAGCCTCCATTAGCATAAATGGATTAGCAAGCTAAGAACATGCAAAATTGTTATACTTGGAACATTTCAAGCAAAAATACTCGAAATTTAGGTAGTGCTTATTTCATCAAATACTAGTTGAGAAAGAACCACAGACAATCACTGTATCTCGCAAATACTGAATGAGGTTTCAATTCTCTGAAACCCAGGGAAACGGTGGTGAGCTAGACAAACGCAGCCCCTGCTCTAACAGAGTACGCCGAAAAGAAGGCTTAATTACGCAATGAAAGGGAGTTATGAGCAGATGCCAGGGAGGTCTAAACTAACTGACCCAATGCCCTCATTTCAAATCTGAGGAAATCTGCCCCCCAAAATTCAATAAATTATGGGAAAAGCTCAACGTTTTACTTTACTAAAATTCCCCCTAATGTTACCATTTCATGGTCTCAAACTATGGATTTTAATGTCACTGAATTTTTTATTCACAAGATATTAAAAGCTACCATTATTTCAAGAAATCCACAGAACCTTTAGTCCAACAGTGAATTCATAACATCACATTATACTCCTCAGTGACTGTCTCTGGCACGGAAGTTCAAGGCATTAAAAAACACAGATGGGTAATCTGAATCTCATTTCTAGATCATGACCAAAAGTAATTTCTCAGGGGCTCTGAACATCACATGGACGCGGCCCCAAGGGCCAGTACCCTATGTGCACTCTGGGACATAAATCCTGCACAATCACGGGTCTGCAGTTCCGTACCTGTGTGATGGAGAAGGGGCTTCAAACTGAGGCACGGTGCTATCCTCGCTGACGGGCGAGTATAAGCCGCTCATTTCCTGAAAGCACAGTTACTTGAGTTGTAATTATTTGAGTTATACAGAAGATGCATAAATCAAAACCAGATATGACAGTACATTCCTTTCCAGCCCCAGGTTTTATTCATCCCTTTTTGCCTCAACGAGCCTTCCTCTCCAGAATGCAGAAGCAAGAATATCTAAAAAAGTTCAGAGATAAGCCTTTTATATAGTATACATTGTTAAAAAACTAGAAACTCTTTAATAAACACTGTTAATCACTAATAAAGCCACCAATGCAAAAAAAAAAAGGACAAATACATTGTAAACACAGTTGGCCCCTAAGCAGCGCGGGGGTTAGGAGCACCGACTCCCAGCCTCCCTGTGTATTTGCTATAACTCTTGACTCCCCCCAGATTTTACCACTAATAGCCTACTACTGACCTGAAGCCTTATTATTTATAACACAGTCAATTAATTAAAATATATTCTGTGTGTTACATGTATTATACACTGTACTCTTACAATAGAGTAAGCCAGAGGAAAGAAAATGTTATTAAGAAAATCATAAGGAAGAGAAAACACATTTAAAGTGTTCACTGAAAAGAAACCCCTGCATACAAGCGGATCTTTCGAGGGCCCACGGCATTTCCACGCAGAGCGCAGCGCACTCCGTGAACAGCGACCCGGCTCACCGCCGGCCTGCGCGGGCACCTGCTGATAAACCCGGTGAAAACGACCGCATGGTGCCTGGGTCACTGGGTTCAGTTCTCGAGGTACAGGAGGGCAGACTGTGTCAGTCTCTACTTCAAAATACCTCTGCAAACGTTTTAAAAAGCAACACTTCTCTTGATTCATATATTAGCTTTTCAAATAAATACAAACACTAAGTTTTGATCATTAACCCAGAGGAAAAGGCCTCTTAATCGAGTATTACTGCATAAACTGTGCCTCTGACTCACACCAGCAATGTGGCTTCCTTTCTTATGCTCGACATTTCGATGAATGGAAAAGCAGCCAATTTTAAAATGCCACCATGGATCCACAATCAAGCAGAATTACTTCTGACTAATCCAGACTCTCAGTGCAATCAAACACAGGTTAGGAATGCCACGTGGGACACCGAACTTCCACTAACAGTGAACTCAACGTCAATCAAGATGTACCAGCAAAGGAAGCACGTAACACATGTGAATAATTAAAAATATACAATAATTTAAATACAGTTGAAGACAGTGACAGGAACCTCACATCATAATAATAGACTATGAGCCTCTCAAAGATCCTCCCATTTTCTAAAGTAAAATATATCATACTATAAATTCTTAGATTCTTGATAATATACTCTCATATCTCTTTTGGAATTGATGTTAGCATCCAGTAAGGCACAGTAAATAAGCAAAAAATTGTTTACCTAAAAGAATGAAATCGTGACATATTTTAATATTAATAATTGAGGGTTTCGGGGGAGCTGATTTACGTTAACACGATGGCACACAAAAAACTGAGTGATTTTCTCAACCTGCCCCAAAATTATGGCAATAAAACAAAGTGAAAACAAATTTAGAATACACTTTATCAACAAGAAAGTGATGCTTTTTCTATAAAATGCACTCTCAAAATTAAAGTAACATCTGTTACTTTCTACATAATGTTGTTAAGTCCAATCCCATAAATTTAATGCAGCAATTTAAAGGAATTTCAATTTCATGAAATTGAAAAGCAGCTACAGAGGTGAGAAATTCTTGATATCTTACTTCCACTCTTTTAATATCCTCTTCCAAAACACTTAGCTCCTTCTGGATCTGTTCCAGTTGCTGGAGATAAAAGAGGAAAAGAAAAAGCATAAATCAAACCATACTGACATCACCAAGATTATAAAATAATTTTACATTTGAAAATGATTTCTAGAAAACTGGGTATAAGTGGTAAATTATAGGGATGAAAACCACTCACAAAAAAAATCTGGAAGTCCCTACGTTAAAATGTAAATGAAGAGACTTAATATTTAGGAAAGTAAAATGAACTTCTTTAATGGAAAAAGAATTGATTTTATAATAAAAAGATGAATAACAATGTGACTTATTAAAAATACAAGATATCCAAAGAACCTCATTTAATTGTCAGCAATTAATGTCAGCAGGTCAGGTGTTAACCCCATTTTAAAAATAAAAATTAGCCTCACAGAGGTTATATTCTACCATCCAACAGCAAAAACAAGTTGGCATCTCAGTATCTGCTTCTTAAGCATTTTTAAAAACATATTTAAGGTAATGTTTTATCTCTGATTACCTTACCTATTGAATTATAACCTTCTTCTGTGATATTTATATGCAAACGTTTTAACTGCTGAATCACATTCAGTACATTTATTTAACCATTCCCCCTCCGCCAGATTGTTGTTTGCAAACTGTTTTAAGTACTTCTGAAACATGAGTCTGAATTCCAAACTTTATTAAGAAATTGTTTAAAATGAAGTTATTAGAAATGAAGAGTTAACAAATCTTCACTATATAAAACAAAACCGCTTTCTAGAAACACCATACCAACGTAAAATTCTATCACCAGCATATGTAAGTGGCTGTCTTACTCTTGATTCAGCAAGGGGCAGCACTGGAGTTCAAATCCAGCCAGCCTGCTCGCCCCAGAACGCACGCTGTAGACCACCATACTATACTGCTTCTTGAACGCGGCACCTTACTATTCGACCTTCACTTCTTTAATGTCCGGTAAGGTTAAACAGAGTTTCAAGGTTTATTGACATGAGAACCTTCTCTTCTGTGGCAATATACACATAGCTGACAATACAACTGATAACTCATTAGTTCAATTATTAACCGGTTCTAAGCATTCTGCTGCGCCCTGGGAGAAGCACAGCTCAGGAAGCCGGAGGCCTTGCCCTCACGGAACTCAGTCCGGGGCAGAGCGTGGACAAGGACGTCGATGACCACGGCCCTGCCCCCGTGCGCGGGAGGCAATCGGAGCGTGCCGGTGAGCGTGCAGGGTCCGGGAAGCACAGACCGCTGCCCGCCGAGATGGAAGGCTCAGAGGCAGGGGAGCAGTGACGGGGTCACTAAAATTACATCTGGAATTAAACAAAGGTCTGAGCCTTGAAGGATTAATAGAATTTTTCCAGGTGGAAAATGGTGGGGACATACAGAATAAACAGGGTAAACAGTAACACATGCATACGAAGGCACCAAAGACACGGGAAAGAGAAACGATAAATCTGAAGCTAATCCCGGGCGTCACCCAGCACAGCCCGAGGGGAACAAGGGCTGGGTGGCAGGGAACACCAAGGGTCAAGGGATGGGCTGAGGAAGCAGAGGCCCTGCACTGACCACCGAGGGCACAACGGCAGCCGCGAACCTGGGCGAGAAGACCGCACAGCAGAAACCCCGGCTGGGGAGCACCAAGAGTAACCAGCTCCGTCAAATGCTCTCAACTCCTCCATCTGGTACACTTCCCTCCTCCACCCCAAGTTGTTTTCACAATACTCCAAGACCACTTCAATCAGATGACATTCAAAACTGAACAAAAGGACACTGGTGTACTTTCAGAGAAGAGCTCGTTTAAAAAAAGAGTGGCAGGACGTGACATACAAAAGCAACAACGAGACACCACTGCACACCTGCCGGAGCATCCCAACCCCCGAACACGGACAGCACCGGATGCTGACGGAGACGCGGAGCAACAGAAACTCTTGTTTGTCACCGGTGGGAACGGGAAATGGCACAGCCACTTGGAAAAGCAGGTTAGTGGTTTCTTTAAAAAAGCCTTAAACATACTCTTGTCATATGATCTAGTAATCACGCTCCTTGGTATTTGCCTAAAGGAACTGAAAACTTACGGCCACACAAAACCATGTTCACAACTGCCCAACAAGACGTCCCCGGCAGGTGACGGGGCACACGGTGGACCATCCAGACGACGGACTGCCATTCAGCGCTGAGCAGAAATGAGCTGTGCAGCCTGAGAAGACTTGGAGGAAACTCAGGTGTATACCGACTGCTACACGAGAAAAGCCAATCTAAAAGGCTATACACTGTACGATTCCCACTCCATGATATTTTGGAAGGGGCAAGACTACGGAGACAGTGAAAAATCGGAGGCTGCCAGGGTCTGGGGATGTGGGAAGGGATCAACGGAGAACTCTTAAAGCAGTGCAGATACTCTGTATGATACTCTATAATGACAGATACATTAGCTACACATTTCTCCCAACCCACATAGTGTATAAAACCAAAAATAAACCCTAAAGTAATCTGCGGACTCTGGCTGATTACGGAGAGGAAGTGCAGGTTCGTGAACTACAGCAAATGCCCCCTCTGGCGGGGGCTGCTGATGACGGGGGTGCTGCACACGTGTGAGGGCAGGGGGTCTGTGGGAAAGAAACCTCAGGAAGGTTGAGAGGTTGTACCTTCCTCTCGACTTGCTGTAAACCTGAAAAGAAACAAGGCTTTTAAACAGACACACACACACACACACACACACACACACACACACACATTCTAAGAGTACCACCCAAAGCAAAGCAAATTTAGCCACATGAAGTGCAAAGCTAGAGTCTTCGCATCCACACCACCCGCCACAAACACACGCATCCCGGTATCTGTGTCCGGGAACGGCAGACTGGGCCCGGCCCTGCCACAGCAACAGCTGTCCGGGTTGAGCAGAAAACACAGAACAAGCAACACCCCCTAAAATAACTGGACTACAGGGGGCACATTAAGATGGCATATTTAAAAAGCAAATGAATAACGTGTCAATACCAGGGTTTGTGGTAAATTAGAATGTATAATGTAACCCCCTAAAAACTACACAAAGAGATGTATTAAAAAATTTATAAATAAATCAAAATGGGAATTCTAAAAACATCCAAGTAATCCATAAGGAGAAAAACATACAAACAAACAAACAAAAAACAGGAAAAAGAAGTGAGTCTGGCAGAGCAGACAAAAACTTCTTCTGCATAAGAAACTCACCTTGAACATGATTCAGAAATCGATGTAACAAGGAAACAAAGAGCCAGCAAGAATGCAGGTCATCATCATACATTTAACAAACTTTACACTGCACTATGCAATCGCAAAAAAAAAAAAACACATTCTTCCCAAGCACAAACATTTCTAAATGTAACCAACTACCAGGTGATAGTGCAAAATATCATATTCAAACAAATAAAACACAAGGCATTTTCTGACAATCCAATTATAACAGAAATCCTAACAAAAGACAAGAAAACCCCATGTCCAAGGGATAATTTCTAAATAATAGTTCACTGGCTTAAGAGAACCTATTGTATAATTAAAATTCAAAACTATTTTAAAGTAAGAAATAGCAAACCAAATGCCATACAAATATCATTAGGTGCAAAAAATTCTCTAGAAGAGTATTTTTTGGCCTTAGGTGTTATATTATATATTAGAGACAAGTTTGCACATGTACAACCAAGTTAACAAATAAGAAAAGGAACAACCACAAAAGAAAGGAGAGGAATGGAGATTATAAAGAGCCTAGTAACATGGAAAACAAAGCTAAAGTCAAAAACTGGTTCTTAGATAAGACTCAAAACTGATGCATCCCTGGCAAGAACTGATCAAGGAAAAAAGAGGAAAAGGCACAGCAGTCAGGACTAAAAACTCTGGGGCCATTAAAAGTATAATGGCTTAGGAAATTCAACTGAAGTCAACGTCTCCTGGGAGGAGCCCAACATATCAGAAGTGCCGTGTGAGGCAAAAACCCGAATGGGCACGTAGCTGTGGAGGCGACCGAATCCACCGTTTTAAACTCTGTAAGCACACAGCAGGTCCAGATGGCTTCCCCAGCAAGACACTCAAACTTCCTAGACTACACAAATTCTTCCAGGAAACAGCACAGAGGGTACATTCCCCAAATCATCTGACAAAACAATCTTCATAGCAAAACTGGACAGGCCAGTATCAAAAAAATTACAGGACACTCTCACTAACGAACACAGGAAGCAAAAATCCTAAACAAACTACCAGCAAACCAAACAACGTGGAAGAGATGTACATCATGACCAAGTCTGGTTTGTGTACGGGATGCAAGGAAGGTAAGCAACTGTCCCAGTGGGGTTTCCCGGAATGCAGAACAGACTGTGATAAAAGTAGGACACTTCTGGGGAAATCAGGACGGTTGGTCACCCAGGTGCAAAGCTGATTTACTTTTTAATGTTAAACCAATGTAATTATTGACATTCACAGAATGCAAAAAATTTCACATCATCTCAGATGCACAAACATTTTGGAGAATACTCAAACCCCCACTAATGATTAAAGAAAAAAAAAGGTCCTCTTAGAAAGCTGGGAATAGAAATTTACTTCCTTGGACAATAAAAAGTGCCTAGGAAAAACCTACAGAAAACGTCATACCTAATGGTGAGACGCCGAAAGCTTTCACTCTGAGATCAGCACCAACACTAGGATGCCCGCTATCACTTCTATTCATCACTGTACCGGATGTCCTAGCCAGTGGAGTAAGACAAGAAAAATAAATAAAAGATATAAGAATCATAAAGAAAGAAACTAAATTGTTATTTGCAGATGATGTCGTGTACACAGAAAACATAAAGGAATCTACAAACAAATTCTCAGAACCAATGAGAGTTTAATGAGGTTGCTGGATGCAAAAACATGTATGTGTAAAAATCAACTATATTTCTGTGTACCAGACACGAACAGTAAGGAACTGAAATTAAAGACATAGACATCATTTACAATAGCATAAAAAAATGACTGAAGACCTAACAACAAATCTAAAATAAAGATGTAGAAGAGCAGTATTCTGAAACATA